CGGGGGAATGGGAGCCTGGCCCTAGGGGGTCCCAAGCACCCCTGGGACCACCCCCCATGGTGTCCCCACTCACGTCAGCCATGGAGTCCACGCAGGTGACATCGAACGCGGCGCGGCCGCCTTGCAGCACCACGGGCGCAGCGCAGTCCTTGACGAGCTGTGAGCAGGGGGACACTGAGCACGGGGCCGTCCCTCCCCCCGGGAGCCCCCGGCGCCCCCCAGCCCAGCACGGCGCTCACCCCGTCTTCCTTGAACTCGCAGCTGTCCAGCTGGGCGCCCGAGCGCGCCTGGCACCGCGTCTCCATGATGGTGAAGTTGAGGTTGTGCAGGGAGCTGAGCTGGACGTTCTGGGGGCAGGGCACAGCGTGGTGGCAGCCACCCGGCAGCCCCGGCTGCTCCGGGCACAGCTCAGAGCCGGGCGGGGGGGAGCAGCTCTGCTTCCCCTCTTGATGTCCCCCGGCTGGCCCCACCACGGCCCCATACCGACCCCATGCCTTCCCCAGGGTTTCCCCATGATGTCCTTGATGTCCAAAGGTGTCCTCGGGATTTCTGTCCCTATGCTGTCCCCACGCTGTCCCTCCCATGTCCTCATGCCGCTCCCAGGAGGTTCCTCTGATGTTCCCCAAAGTGTCCCCACGCCGTCCCCATGATGCCTGCACACCTCCCCACGCCTTCCCCACGACGTCCCCAGTATCTCCCACGGTGTCCTCGTGGTTTCCCCACGCTGTCCCCACATGCACTCACCGGGCCGGGCTCGGGGTCGGCGCTGAGCAGCCGGAAGGCATTCTGCACCTCAGGCCGTTGGTTGTAGGAGTCCACAGCCTGGGCCAGAGCCTGGGGGTAGCCCAGGGGGGCCGGGAGGGCGCAGGCCCCCCCCAGCAGCGCCAGCACCAGCACCCAGCAGCTCGCCATCCTCGCCCCGTGCCCGCTCATCGCTCCCAATGCCTTTTATTGGCCCCGAAGTTGGGCAACGCGGAAACGCGGGCCCAGGGGGAGCAGCCACAGCGCGGCAGTTATCTGGGGGGGAAAAGCTGTGGTGGGGACGTGGCTGTGCCCATGGGCTGCCCTGTCCCGCTGCAGGCTGCATCCCACATCCCTGGCTGTGCTGCAGGGCATGGGGTGCTCTGGTTGAGAGGCCACGTAGCCATAAAATGGTCCCCAAGGAGCAGACTGGCAGTGCCCAGCTGGGACAGACGGACGGATCGGACTCCATCCCATTGGGATGAGGCTCCATCGCATTGCAGTCTGCATCCCAAAGACAATGGAGGTTCCAGGCACCCTCAGACCCATGGGACAGCTGCCATTGGATTCAAGAACTCCTTCCCATCCCCGTCCCCACCCCCATGTGAAGGCTTTTTGACCCACGCACTCCCACAAGCCATTTCCCATTCAACTCCCCATCATCCCCACAGTGTTCTGTCCCCAGACCACATGGCTTGTACTCCCAAGTACCCCCCACACAGCAGCCCTGGTCCCCTCCTATCCCCTGCAACAGCCCCCAGGCTCTGAGCCAGACACGTGGAGCAGCCCTGTGTGCTGCCATCTGTTATCAGCCCAAGGGTTGGCCAACGTGCTATTGGCAGTTGGGATGGAGATGCTGCATGTGGGGCTGCAGCCGCCCCACCATGACCCAGAAGCTGCAGGTTTGTGCAACCTCAATCCCATTCTACTGCAGGATGGCGGGATGGGGATGAGGCATCACACATGCAGCAGAGCCCTGGAACATCTTTATTTCAGCCCTTGGGTCTATAGGACAGGGTCCATGGATGAGGTCTGCACGTCCCCTGCTGCAGGATGGATGCGCTCATGGGCTTCAGGATGGCGCCGGCTCCCTGAGGCCAACGGCTCGTGGGGTTGCAGGGCTGTGCCGGCTTCGGGAGCGGGGCTGCCCTGAGCTGCTGGGCTGAAGGATAAGAAATGGGGGTGGGCTTCAGCCCCAAAGTGGAAGGGATGCAGGGAGGAGGAATTCATGCAGCCCTCACCGTCTGCCGGCTGCACTCCAGCAGCGACAGCGGCACGTCAGGCAGGAAGGCAAAGACGGAGATCTGGGCCACGCAGTGCTGGATCTGCTGCAGGATGGGGGGATCAGGAGGGGGCAGTGCTGGGAGGGGGTCCCACACCGTGCCCCGCACCCACCTGGCCCGGCCGGGCTCTGCATGCAGCACCGCGTGGCGCCGTGGGGCCGGCGGGGCAGGAGATCTCACGGGCAGTGAGATTGATGGTGAAGTGCGTGCCCCAGTCAAACTTCTGCAAGGGAACGACAGCATTTGGCACAGCAAGGAAGCTCCCTCTTCCCCAAAACCCAGCGGGAAACCCCAGCGAGGCTCCTACCGTCCTGGTGACTCCTTGCAGCTTGAGCAGCCTCAGCCCGCTGCCCGCATCACGCCCGTGCGCCTCCAGCACGGTGCGGGCCAGCTCGCGTGGTGTGGGGGGCAGTGGGGCGGTGGATGACGGGGCGGTGGGCAGCAGCACAGCCAGCAGCAGCACAGCCAGCAGCAGCACAGCCATGGGGCTCCGCTTCCAGGACAAACACAGGGCTGGGCGGCACGGGAAGGGATCGGGTTGCTGCTGTTTTTCTTGGAGAGCCGCAGCGAAGAGAAGCTTTGTGGGGTTTGTTCCCATCCTCCTCCCTGGGCAGCTGGAGAGGCAGTGGGAATTAGAAGGGCTTCGCTTTGGGGCTGCACGTTTTGCCTTGTGTGGGGTGCAGAATCCCAGAAGCACAGGAGTTGGAATGGACTTCTATAGAACCTCTGGTCCTGCTCCCCCTAACGCAGGTTCCCTAGGACAGGTCGCACAGGAAAGCACCCAGGTGGGTTTTGAACGTCTCCAGAGGAGGTAACATCCCCTCTCATCTTCTCCAGGCTGAACACACCCGAGGCTCTCAGCCTTTCCCCCATCAGTTTCCTGTCTGCCTGATACTGGGGAGCCCAGCGATGGCCCCAGTGCTCCAGATGTGGCTTCACCAGGGCAGAGCAGAGGGCAGGAGAACCTCCGTTGCTCTGCTGGCCGCACTGGGCGCAATGCACCCCCCAGAGTCCCATTGCAATGCACACAGCGTGACCATGAGCCGGGGACAACAGCTGTGGTCAATGGTTGGCCAACTGCTGGTCAACCACAACACCCAGCTCCTTCCCCACAGAGCTCCTTTCCAGCTCACCCCTGACCTATTCTGATGCATGCAGTAACTCCCCCCAGCCGTAGGACCCCACACTCGCCCTTGCTGAGCCTCACCGCCCTCCTCTCTGCCCAACTCTCAGCCTGCCCACGTCTCACTTTCCCAAATGCAGAGAGCAAAACCCCACGTGGAGCCCCACAGTTATTCTGAGTCCCCCTCGCTCTGCTCAGAGCTAGGAGCTGATGCTTGTACAAACAAACTGTTCCCTGCCACAGCCTGCAGCCAGGCAGCTCCCAGCTGGAAGCCTTCCCACTTCCTTCCAAGCCTCCTGGCAGGGAGGGGATCATGCAGATCCAGGGCTAAAGCTGCTGCCCAAAGCTCCCCCCGTCTCTCCTCCCACCCAGGAGCGAGGTGAGGATGCCAAAGCAGCTTCATTTCCATTGCAATACTCGTGCTTTGTTTTGTTTTTCCTTTTTAAAGTGTCTTAGCAGCAGGGAAACCTCACAGTGAATTCACCAAGTGAACCCATCCACTGACGTCCGTATACAGAAGAAGTACATACTGACAAAACCACATTTATAGCCAGATATGCTCGTTATATATACCTGAAATATACACAGTACCTGAATATATAGACATCCACATATACACCCAAAGTTAAAATCCCGAGCTGGGAGTCAGCTATGAAGGAGAAGCACGGGTTTGGGTGGGGGGACACCAAAGCTCCTGGAAACACAGGGCAGCAGCGAGCCCCCGCTGCCTGCAGTGGGCGTAGTGTTGAGGGGCTCCCTGCCCCGTGGCTGTGCTGGTGGGCAGGGAGCCGTGGCTCTCACCATTCACATTCATGCAGGGGAAATGCTGGAGGGCTGATGCAGGCAAGTGGTGCTCGGTGGGTTTGGTTCTGGGAAGGAGCAAGCCAGCAGCAGCAGCAGCTCCCTTTGGCTGCAGTGAAAATAGGGTTGAAAACAGCAAAGGGAGAAGGGCTGGAAGCGGTGCTGAGCCCCATGGGACGAGCAGGGACACGGGGCAGCACCTGCAGCCCTGCCACAGTTTGGCCACAGGAAGTTTCCTTGCGTGGCTGCCATGAAATAAGCACATTGCCAAGACCTTTCCCAGCACACAAACCCCAAGACGTTGATCTCACCCGTGCTGGGGAAGTGTGGTTTCCCACCAGCGCCTTGCAGGGAGGCTGCTGCAGGTTTCTCTGCTCCTCAGAGCTGAACTGCAGCTGCCCCAACACAGCCACAGACCTCCTGTGCTGTCACAAACAGAGGCAGTGATCCCTCTCCTCCTTAAAGATCCCGGCCACTCTGCGTCAGCTGCCTCTCACATACCAACGTAGAAAAGCCAAAGCTTATTTTTGGAGACATCTATTGACCATTAAGGGCTATCCTGACAATTCACACCTCGGTTTGCCTCCTCTGTTGAAATCCTAAGGCTGTTGCTTAGTGTGGTTGACATTTGGCATTCTTCCTCCCATGTTTGCTAAAACGCTCCCATGGTTTAACCGACTTTTTCTCCCCCCAGTTTCTCCATCGTGTGGCTCTCGTGGAGAAATTTTCCCCATCTAAGCTGAAGAAAGCATTTGGAGAAACCAGCAGTGGCTTGTGCAAGAAGCACCCGAACTTGCAGAGCTTGGACATGGTCTTACAGGCCTACATTGGTAGGTTCTGCCTGCTTTGGTAGACCGGGTAAGATCTCAACGTGGCCAGCATGAAGCTGAAACAACCCAAAACTGATCAAACTCTTGGGATGCCGGGGTCCTTGCTGCAGACAGAAGGTGTGCAGGTGTTCTTCAAGTCACGGAAGCTGCCGTTCTGTGCAATTCTGTGCCCTCCCAACCCACACCACCACCTCCCAGCGTTGGCCAAAGCACACCGACGCGGCTGGGCGCTGTTGGGGAGAGGAAGGATTTGCTCAGCTGTGGCTCTGCGCAGAGGCGAAAGCGGGAGGAGGGCAGCTCCTTGCTCAGGGCAGCACATTCACACCTCGCGTCGTAGTCCCGAAAACGTCGATCCTTCAGGGGCCTCGGCCCAAGAGCCAAGGGTGGGGGTGGTCGTGTCAAGTTTCTGTGTGTGTTTGAGCACCTGGAGATGGATCTCTCTGGCTATCAGAGCGGGAAACGCCGGCTGGAGCTCTCCCACGATTGTCGGTGACAAGGCAGCTCCTCGCCTCTGCCTCCTCAGATGGTCAGCAGGGGGATGCAGCCCACGCCGACCCCCCCCTCGTGGCACACCATCGGGGCCATGAACGTCCAGCGGTTGGTCTCCGGGTCGTACATCTCCACCGAGCTGAGGTTGGACTGTCCATCGTAACCCCCGACGGCGTACAGGCGGCCGCAGTTTGCCACCAGGGACACTCGGCTCCTCCGGGTGTTCATGGGGACGATGAGGTACCACTGGTCCGCCACAGAGCTGTACACCTCAGCCATGCTGAGGAAGGCAGAGCCGTCGTAACCCCCGCACACAAACATCTTGCTTCCCAGCGACGCCGCCCCGTGGCGGCAGCGCTTGTTGAGCATGCTGGCCACCGGGTGCCAGGTGGCCGTGTGCTGGTTGTAGTACTCCACCTACAGACACAGGGATGGCACAGCATCAGGGGGAAGCTCAAGGCAGGCATCCAGCAACGCACAGAGACATCAGACACTTTGGTCAGCTCAAGCTCTAGGGGAAAACGGCGTTAGCGGGGAGTCGTGGAATCATCTGAGCTGGATGGGAACTCTAAAGGCCATCTAGTGCAGCTCCCCTGCACTGAATAGGGACACCCACAGCTCCATCAGCTGCTCAGAGCCCCATTCAGCCTGACCTTGCTCCTTGATTTCGTATGCTCCATAATGCTATTCAACTTCTTTAATGAGTCGGGTGCACAGACCACAGAAAATGCAGCTCCCTTTGCCTCCTTCCCTATTTATCAGCTTCCAGGTTGTGTTTTAAAGAGGTACAGGAACCTCAAGCTGCACCAGGGGAGGCTCACGTTGGGTATTGGGGAAATTTTCTTCTCCAAAAGAGTTATAATGCAATGGCACAGGGTGTCCAGGGGGGTGGCAGAGTCACCGTCCCATGTGTTCAAGAAATCTGGAGATGTGGCACTGAGGTCATGGTGAGGTGGTTTGGTGCTGGACTCAAATTATCTTATAGGTCTTTTCCAACCTTAATTATGTGGGTGCCCCAGAGCAGAAACAACCAAAGCTGTGAGACCCAAAGGCTGTGTGCTCAAGCTGTCCTCAAAGACCTCTCTAGTGAGACCCCCTGCTTTCCCTGGCAGCACATTGCAGTGGTTCCATGAGGAGACAAAACGAAAGGAGAGGGGAGCGGAGCGGAGCAGAAACCCCCAACCTCCCCCCAGATCAACACCTTTCTGTACCCCCTGTGTTTCTGGAGAGACCATTAGATGGACCCCTCCTGCAAGAACTTCAGCACTGCTTCAAGCTCATCCAATTCAGGAATGAGCTGAGACAAGCAGATTTGCAGATCTTGGCTCTGTGTTACTTCAGGCTGCAGACAATCATCTGCACTTGGGTGAGGTGGAAATAGTTATTGCTGCTCCCTGCAAATCCCTTAATTACAACTTGCTGATGGCAGCACATGAATGAAAACCCAGTTCAGGTACTGCTTCCTGCATTCTCACTCCCAGGCAGATGAATGAGCCTTGCCTGTCCAACACTAAACCCTGCTTCAGGGGATACACAGGGAAGAAGCACTCACAGTGCATGAACAGGGAATGGCTGTTTGTGAGGGTGGATGGTGATAGGACAAGGGGGAATGGTTTTAAACTGAGACAGGGGAGGTTTAGGTTGGATATTAGGAGGAAGTTTTTCCCCCAGAGGGTGGTGAGGCACTGGCACAGGCTGCCCAAGGAGGCTGTGGATGCCCCATCCCTGCAGGCATTCAAGGCCAGGCTGGATGTGGCTCTGGGCAGCCTGGGCTGCTGGTTGGTGACCCTGCACATAGCAGGGGGTTGGAACTGGATGAGCATTGATCCTTTCCAACCCAGGGCATTCTGAGATTCTATGCACTTACACTGTTGAAGATCTGCAGGCCGTCGTGCCCTCCTGACACGTAGATCCTGCCCTCAAACACAGTGACACCAGCAGCGCTGCGGTTGGAGCTCATGGGGGTCACCACTGTCCACCTTGCCAAGAGAGGAGACAGGTTAGCACAGCAAGCAGCTGCTCCACAGGCTGTCACAGCTCTGCAGGCCTTTCCAGTGCTGGCTTACAGTACCTCTCCCTTCACTTCTTACTGCATATAAATCATGGGTTTAGTCTGCTTGCACCTCCTGCTGGGAGGGACATCGTACGGAATGCTTTCCACCTAACTTCACGACGATTATTTTATTGACAGGGCTCTCTTACATGGTGCATGGCACACCCCTGGCAGCAGCAGGAGGATAAGCTGTACTGCACACAGAGCTCTTACTTGTTTGTTTCTGGAGAATAGGACTCCACGGAGTTGAGCGAGGAGTTTCCATCGTATCCGCCGCAAACGTAGATCTGCCCGTCCAGCACCACGGTTCCCATCGCACTGCAACAAGCAGCAGAGCCACCAGATGGTTTGGCATGGCCTTACAGCCCACAGCGTGCCAAATCCACCCCAATCTGCCTCATCTGTTGTCTACAATCACCAGCTTCACAACGCTGGGTCTCCTGAAGGTACTGATTTGGGGTTCGAACTAAATGGGGCTTAAGGTGTCTGTCCCTGGAGGTGCACAGGAACAGTGGAGATGTGGCACTGAGGGATGTGGTCAGTGGGCATGGTGGGGTTAGGCTGGGGGGTGGACTTGGTGCTATCAGTGATCTGTTCCAACATTAATGACTCTTTTCTGCAGCCAGAGGCACTGCCACAGAGCCTCAGGACACACAGGAGGTGCTGTCAGATGTACAGCTGGCTCAGTGAAGGTGCCTGACCCCGCTGGAACACCATCACACAACACCTTCTAAGTTGCCTATCTGGGTGTGCAAAAGGCTACCAAATGGGATGCTTCAAGTAAGAGACTAGAATCCCACTTTTGAAAGTGAAGTCAAAAAACTTCTTTCTAGAACCTTGGAAACACAATTCTCAAAGGCAGAACCTCAGCCCTACTTCAAGAGCCAAGGGATTTATACAGCAGCTGAGGTTTTCCAGGCTGGATGTGGCTCTGGGCAGCCTGGTCTGGTGGTTGGTGACCCTGCACACAGTAGGAAGCACTAGATGAGCACTGTGGTCCTTTTCAACCCAGGCCATTCTTATGATTCTATGATTTTCCCCTACACAAGGGCATCTGACACCCGTCCTGCTTGGCTTTGGCATGGAGAAACCCAAACATGGAAGAGCATCCGCCTCTCATTGTGAGAAAAGCTCCCAGGAGCCTCAGTGCTATGGAAAAACTGAGCTTTTCTGCTACAAATTATAAATGTGGGTGATCTCACAGAATGGAAACGGTTCTAGGAATTTAGATGAACTCTGCCTCTGAGCCAGACATGAAGCTCTGGTTAAGAACCACAACAGCCAGGACTTGTTCCTGTGACACGCTCCTGTGAAGCAGTGTGGCACCAGCAGTCACAGGGATGCCACCACTGAGAGCCTCGTGCCTCAGATTTCCCATACTCAGCCTCTTGCAGTGCAATCTTCCCAAGCAATCCACGTCTCAGACCACAACAAACAAACCATGATGATAAACAAGCACTGCAAAGCGTGCAGAACAGCGAGCAATTTAGCAGCTCTCAGTGACCAGGCATGAATGTGATGAAAACCACAGCAAAACCCATGGAAGCCAGGAGTGTGTTTAAAGATGGAAGCAGCCACCGTGTTGTGGTGGGGAGGACAATAATCACACAGCTTAGGAGGTGGGTTATCAAAATAACACAGGCAAACCAACCACAAAACGATCCCTAGGGTGGCCATGTACTGTGGAAGCTCTGGTCAAAGCCAAGCACCTTTTGCTTAGCTGTAAATGTCTCTGTCTGGGCTACCAAAATCTTCCTCTCTTTTTGAGCTATGATTCTCCTGTGCTTTCTGGTAGGGAAAGACAATCCTAACAGTGGCCAGAGATAGAAAAACAGGTTTATTCTTACTCTTAGCAGTGGAGAATTTCCTACACTGTGCTCACCAGTGCTTTGCCTACCATTTAGTATCACAGTATGAAGAAATGGAGCTCTGACTCCTTTCCTTGGGACTCAAGTTCAAATCCTTACAGAATGTTAACAAACACTTTTGACTTCACTCCTATATGTCATGAGAACTAAAAGACCTCTGTAGTTAACAGCTCACACTAATTACTGCTCAGCTGCTTTTCACTTGCCGATCAATTCCCCTGTAAATCAATGCTGTATTGCTGAGTTGATGAAAGTTGTCCCTTCTTACCAGCAAGAAGCAGCACAGGTGACCCAGATGTGGTCAAGGAAACCTCTCCTGCTTCTGTATCACCCCATTCCTCTACTCCCCTTTTATTTTTCTGCTGTCCCACGCAAGGACCCCTCATTTGGCATCCGCCATCACCCCCCAGCCTTCCTACAACCTCACTTTTATCCCTCCAGCTCCAAAGCCATACATTCAGGGAGCCTGTATACCTTCGTTTGCTGTTCATGCTTTCCACTTTGGACCAGGAATCCATCTCAGGGTTGTACACCTCCACAGTGCTCAGCCTCAGCTGCCCGTCGTACCCCCCGATGGCGTAGAGCAGCCCATTCACCACGGCCACACCAACGCGGCTCCGCGCCGTCGTCATCGGCTGGCACTTCTCCCAGCGGTTGGCAATGGGGTCAAAGACTTCCACCACGTTCAGAGAGTCACCTGCATAAAAATTTGCTACTCAAATTAAAAGGGGGAGACCCATTTCTTCAGCCTCTGCTGCACGGTGGCAGCGAGCTGCTGGGGGAAACTCAGCTGCGCTCTGCGATGCTAAAAGGATTGCGGCGGCGCAAACCCTGCCTGCTCTGTGCAACAGGGCTTGATGAGTCCTAGGCTGAGCAAGTGGGGCCTTCCGTAGCCTCGAAGGGGCAGCAGAGACCTACACTATGCCACATCCACTGGTGTTTCTGCTTTCTGGAAGAACGGCTTCCCTTTAAGTCACCCACGTTGCGGTGTGAAGGAAGAACAGCCATCCCACAGGGCAGTGCCCAGCACGCACCCATTACTCAGATCCCACCTCAGTCAGCTGTTCTTTGGCAGATCTTTAAAACCCCAGTGGACATTTCCCAAGCAGACTGTTTAATATTTTTTGCCCCCTGTCATAATTGGAGTGATGTCACACAAGTGCACTGTGTCTGCAGCTGTGATCCTGCAATCCCATCAGCGTCAGCCTAGTATTTCCAAGTTCTGCAAGTTGTTAGGGGCATGGACAACCTTCTCAATACATTGGTTCTTTGAGATACACCAGAACAGCTGTCCTAAGCTTGACAAAGACAGAATTTCTAGAGGGAAGATGTTAAACTATAGGTACAGCCACCTTGAGCATCATAGGCCAGAGACCTGCACAGCAAGGAGAAAACTCTCCAATGCTTCATGTGAGGTTGGATATTAGGAAAAAAATCCTTCTCCAAAAGAGTGGACAGGCATTGGAACAGATTGGCCAGGGCAGTGGTGGGGTTTCCATCCCTGGAGGTGTTCCAGAACTGTGGAGATGTGGCACTGAGGGATGTGGTCAGTGGGGATGGGCTGGGGTTGGACGTGGAGATATTAGTGATCTTTTCCAGCGTTAACAATTCTATGTTTGTACGAGGGCAAAATGGGATCTTCATGATTCCATAGTCTTACTCAGCAAACTACATAATTCTCTTCGCTGTGGGGAGGGGATGTGCAAGGTACCTGCTGAGTTAAGTCCTCCAACAGCATAAATCAGCCCTGCAATCGACGTGCAGCACCGAGGACGGGTCTTGAATGCTGGGAGGTGCGGTCGACGCTCTGGCATGAGGTGATAATCTTTTGCTTCATCCACTAGATCTCTGAAACCAAAGTGAGATATTTACAGAGTTCGGTGGATCCTGGTGCCCCCTGTGATGAAAACCGACTGTCTTAACTCAGTTTTAGGCAACTGATTTTCTGCTACCACAGCCAATTCTTTCAGAGTACAACACAGTCCTGCTGCCAGGTTAAAAACGGGGAGGGTGCTTTGCATTTTGCTTTGTGAGGTAGGTATGCAGTGGCACAGGCTGCCCTGGGACGTGGTGTGGTCGCTGGAGGTTCAAGAACTGTGGAGATGTGTTCCAGTGGACACAGTGGGGATGGGTCACTGGTTGGACTTGGGGATCTCAAAGGTCTTTTCCAACCTACAGAGAGAATTTCAGACTCCAGGACTGCTAAAGCACACTCCAGCTCTGATGCCACTATCCACCCTAAGGTCCTCTTACCCCACGTCCAGGCCTCACCTGCATTTGTGGCAGCAGCGCACCAGGTCGTCTTGCTGCACTCTGTCAGTGAGAAACTGCGGCCGACAAAGGGGCAGGCGGATTTTGGAGAGGAGCTCAGGCAGGAACAGCTCCCTCTGGTCTCGCTCGTAGCGTATCCATGCTAGAGCAGCTTCAAACACCTGCCAGAATAGAGGCAAGGGAAGTTGAAGTTGGTTTTGTTTGTTGCTTTTTTTCCCCAAGTTCCTCCTGCTGCCAGTTGTCTGATGGAAAAGAAACTACATATTGACAGTGATCTTCTCCTCATCTCAGAGGACAATTTAAAGAGAGAACAGTGATGCTCTTTGCTGCACCAGGGAACTCTCCTGCAGCTTGGCTTTGGCCAAGCCTTGCCTTGACTCAGCCTGCAGTAACAGCTATCTACCCCTGTGAAACACTGAGCTGGTCTCTGTAGGCTCCCTCCACAATCACTGCAGACACAGATCTCATCCTAATGCCATTCATCTGCCCTGTTTTGGATGGCTACTTTGCAGTAAGATGCACTGTGTTCCTGACTTGAGGTTACAAAGGGAGCCTGGTTTCCTGGGGACACACACTCTTGACTCACAGGACTGTCTCTAAGCTGAGGTTGGGTTGTCTGCTGGGCCACTTCAAACAGATCCATTAAAGAAGCCCTCTCTTATCCTACATGGTAGAACTGCTTTTTAGTCACCTCCTCAGAAGGAGCAGGACAGGTTTTCTGGCTCAAAGACAGGCTCTGTTTCTCTTACACTGACAGATTCTCAACAATGCTGAAACATCCCAGAGCGGCTCAGCCTGTCCAGAGGAGCTTCTTGATGGCAAATTCAGTGGAATATTAACTATAAAATGCTCCAGAGAAGTCCTGGGCTGGAAGGAGGTTCTTTTTGCCTATACCCTCAGCCTCATCCTCCAAGGAAACAAGTGGCTCTGCTGAGCGCTGTACCCACACACACACCTGCTCTTCAGACTTGACGTTGAGCTCATCCCGAGAAACGAGCTCCAGGACGTCCTCAAAAGGCAGAGCCAGGAACTCCTCAGACATGGACACCTCCACGAAGTGCTGGTGAATGAAGCTGTTGGCAGCATCGTAGAGCACTGCGCACATCATCGTCTCGGCAAACTGCCGCACGCCCAGGCAGTTCTTTGGGTGAAGCCTGGCGAGGGGAGGGAGAGCAAAAGTAACGTCAGTTTAACACAGTGATGGCAAAATAGCAAATGGGTTCAGGGCAGCAATCGCAAGCAGACCCAAAGGATGGAAACCACGACCTAAAATCTCCCCTTAAACCTGCCAAGCTGCACTGGGCAGGCTGCTGGCTCTGCTCTAAGGTCATGGGTTGTGAGTTTGGGGGAAGTGTGAGGCCATGCCCAGCAATCCTTCTCCCTCCTACTATCTGTAGGATATGATATGATATGTATATGTATATGATCCTATCTCTGCCTCCTACATGTGTACCTCTGTAACTCCAGTGTTGGACAAAGCTGCATTCGAGCACAAAGCATAAAAAGTGTAACCAGGTACTGATTGTAGGTATGCATACAGCAGAACAGCACCTGTTACATCCTCTTAAAGCCATTTCCTGACGTGAAGGTTTTCTCACCAGAGATGCCTTAGCAGCTGGAGATAACATGGTGAGAAGCACTGCTACAGTTTGGAGCAAGAACAGCTCCATAGAGCTGTTCAGCAGCATAAACAACTGGAAAAGGTGATACTCACCACAAGCAGGTGCTCTACAGAGGCAGCAATGTGACCTGGACACTTCTATCCCAACGAGGAGCCCTGCCCAGCACTGGCATGTCATTGCTCAAGAAGAGCCACCAGTTGTGATGCTTTGTGGCACTGATCAACAGATACTGAAGAACGTGCTGTTCACGTGGGGAAACATTGGGGCCCAGTTATTGGCAGTGGTGTCCAGATGCAGGAAAGGATGTGAAACCACTTGTACTCGCTCAGGGGCAAATGCCCTGATTTAAAACTGCCCTAAAAAGCAATGCACAGTGCTGATGGAGGGGAACTTTCACATTAGGATGACCCTCAAAGCTCACACAGCTACTCTACAAAGCTCTGCCCCTTGCATTCCCATGCACTCCAATCTATGCAGGTCTGAAGCTCATGCTTTTGCATTCCTCTTTGACACTTCAATTACTCTGGACCCAGATTACACGTACACAGACCCTCAGGCTGAGCTCACACAGTTTGTATGTGGGGCACAGACTGCATCTCACAGCAGTGTCCATTCTAGGTCTGCCCCTGGGAAGTGAGATAACAGCCAGAGAGGGCCTGCTTACAGCACAGCACAGGTGAAATATCCCAGTCATGTTCCCACATAAGAAAGAGAGCTTGGTGTGCGTGCTCCAGCTCTTCTGAATGGACAGAGTACACCAGGCTTCTTGTTACTGAGTGACAGCCAAGCACTCAAAGCAAGGACTTAACTCAATACTCCATTGCTCCAGACCTGGGAGAAATGTGGCAGCCAAACTTCTGGCAAACCAAACAACCTTGATTAGCTCAGATCTAGATCTAGCCACCTAAAGCTAGAGGGGGCTTCTAAATCAACCACTACCCTCCTCTTTCCAACTTTGTCACATCCACAACCCCAAGTAAAATGGTTTTGAAAGAAAAATGAATACTCTACAATCTCATAAAACCTCATTTTAAAACAGAAACTCGGGATTCATGTGGATCAGTAAACTGGAACATCCTGAAACAGAGGAAACAGTTTTTTCTCCTCAATCCATAGTTTTCATTCTATTTAGAAGTGATGTAACAACTAGAGGAGACACTGCATTCAGTACGTGTGTTTAATCTCCCACCACGGAATACAAAGAGCAGCTGCAGAGAAATCAGGCTGAGGAGTGAGGGGGAAGAGAAGCACATCAGGTTCCTGGCACAGCCTGAAGCTGTGGTATGTTTCCAAGGAATAACCCTGCTTTTTTCTTTCCAGATCATGCTGCTGGAATGATCTTACAGCCAAACATCAGCTAGAGGACTGGAAAAACTGGAATCAATTAACTCTGCCACTGCTTCCTATCCAACTCTGGGTCTGTTTGTTCCTCCCCTCCTATACAGTCAGCAGCAGGAAGGGGAACTGCTGGGAGGATGGGTTTGTTAATGGAGAGGCAGCATTGTGCTGGGTACCTGGCTAACCCTGAACAAGGGAAATGTAAACTCAGTTTTGCTGTAGATAATAATTCCCACAGCTGGCCAAGGCCTTATGCTGTCCCCAGATGCAGCATCTTGCAAACAATGTATTTTATAGACAAGGAGAACGGTGAGCCTCAGGAGACGGAGACCTTCTTATCGTGTTGGCTTAACCCAAGCCACAGAAATGACTTCTGCAGAAGACAAGCAGTGAGCACGTGAACTGGCAGCCCCTTACCTCTCTCTGAGGAAGGTGCAGCAGGCATCCTTGATGTTCTGCAGCTGCAGGAAGCTGGCTCCCATCAGCAAAGACTGCACGTTCTGCTGATCGATCGCCAGGTGCCCGTTGTAGGCGAAGTTGATCAGAGCCTCAAGTGCACTGAATAATGGGGAGAAAGAGTGGGAAATCTACTGAATTCAGTTAACCTGAAACAGGGCACTGCTAACAGAATCATAAAATGGCCTGGGTTGAAAAGGACCACAATGCTCATCTCATATCAACCCCCTGCTGTGTGCAGGGTCACCAATCAGCAGCCCAGGCTGCCCAGAGCCACATCCAGCCTGGCCCTGAATGCCTGCAGGGATGGGGCATCCACAGCCTCCTTGAAAATCCCTCCAGAAAATCCTTCCTAGTGCAGTTCATGGAGGGCAGGCTTTCAAGCTTTGCACATGCAACACTAAGTCCTGCAAAGGACTCGTTACCCTGCACAGCTGCCTGGGGAATTTACCTGGGGTCCATCCCCTGCATGACGATCTCATCCTGCTTGCACTCCATCATGTCGTTGGTGAACATGGCATGGAAGTAGGGGATGGAAGCTGCCAGCACGATCCGGTGAGCGCTGAATTTATGGTCCCCCACCTAAAAGGAGAGGAAAAAAAGCAGGAGAGAAGGTCAGCACCATCCACCACCAGTCACACAGTCCAGATGATTCCCTCTTGCACAGCCTGAGCGCTGAAAGACAATTTCAATCTGCAAAGAACACTCTGTCTTTTGAACTTGAACTTCTGAATCTGGTTTTTACCCTCCTAATTACCACTGTGATGGCATTACAGTTCCATAGACAGAAAGCCAGTCATCTTTACCACAACCTCATCCCCTTTCAGCCTACATAGGATCTGCTGCACCAGCTCACATTTATATCCTCTAAAAGCCTTCATGAAGAGAGGTTTGGAAGCAAGGAGAGGTTCTTGCATCTCCAATTCCACTTCTCACCGCAGATGCTGAAAAGATTTTACTCACTGCAAAATTACACCAATCTTTGCTCTGATGACTCCTCTACATTAGGTCAGAGTTGTTATTTTTCCCATTTTCCACACTAACCTGACTCAGGCTAGTCTACACCTATCTGAGCTTGTACAGAACTGCCTTTTTCTCCCACTTCAGCAACATCTTCCCTTTTGAGCTTTGTTTCAGCACGGCAAACAAGCTGGCACAGTGGGTGCTCTGCTCTCAGGTCAGCCAAGAATCCTTCTGTTCTCTTATGCACCTCACTGCAAAAAGCTTCGTTGCCTTTTCATGTCCAGGCAGTTTATTAGCAGAAATGTTACTCGCATTTGGGTTTTTATGCTTAAATCAAACCCAGTGCCTTGTGTATTCCTTTAAGCCCAGATCTACTGCCCTCTGTAAATATGACTTCCTGGGAGTTTAGAAAGCAAAATCCCCAGCATTCAGAAAAAAGAAAGAGGAACTGAGCACTGCACAAGACGTGTAAGCAAGAGATGGGCCTTTCCCCTTCTCTCCTTGCTCTGCTAACTTCACCCTACAGGAGATGACTGTGGCAACTGACTACGATGCAGAAAGAGGCAGGAATGAGATGGCTTTTGGGCTTGGCAGATGAGGATGGTGTTCCTTAGGAGGGAGGGAGGAATCAGCTCCAATAGAGCTACAGACAGCAAGTGCTGCACTACAGCATGGCTCCAGCCCACCTGCAGCACTGACGTTGGGTTAGCAGGTACCAGATGGGTTTGGAGGAGAGCTCCCAGCTGGGCAGGGCAGAATGTGCCTGAGCAACCACTGAAGGGTGCAAGAACATCTGAACTGAATCTCACTTCTACGCTATTTGTGAAAAACTTTATCCTCCAGCTGCAATTACAACAGACTGCAGCAATGCTTGAGCACTTGTGCAGAGCTGTGCTCTCCAAGCAAATCCCTGCACTCCGATCCCAAGGGTGGCACAGCTTCAGGGATGCGTAGCCACAGTTCCACCCCACGATGCAACGCCTCCCTAGAAATAAAGCACCTGGTTATTGCAGAAGCCATCACTTACAGTCACACAGCAAGATTCCAGCTGGGTTAATGAGAGCTGTATCATCACAGGGAAGAAATACCTTGTCCTGGGCAGCACCACCCAGCTGCTCGGCAGCTCCCAGGGACAGGCGTGTTCCCTGGTTGGGTTTCACCCTTCTTTAAGGAAAGGGTTTCACCCTCTGGAATGCCCCATTTAACAGAGTGAGAACACTGGGATGATCCTGCACCAGCAAGGCGGGCTGTGAGCTCATCAGGGCTGGTTCTAATTGCTGCAAGAGAAACCTTGCGTCCCCACACAGAGCTGAGCTCTGCATCCCCATCCACACTTCCCTCGTGCTGACTTTGTGGGTCAGGGAAATGAAACAGAAACAAGCTGTGTGAAAAAGGGAATCATTTTTGCTGTCTTAGCAGGGGAAAGGGAGGATGGGAGCTCTGTGGCTGCATCAGCAAACAGCTGGGCCAGCTGCATGCTGCCATCGCCACCAGCCACGAGGTGCTGTGCAAGATAAGACTTGCAATCCTGTTTTATTTGTTATTTTTCTTAATTTGCTCATGCAATGATAGAAGGCCCTCGAGCAGATTTACGAGCAGGGATCTCCAGTCCAGAATCCATCATTATGTTTGTACCATCAGTGCTTAATGACAAGTCCTGAAGGAACTGCTCAACTTCTGCAGGCAAATGGCAATACCTGTTTTTCCTGTACGAGGTGAAAAATACTTCTGAGGATGATCACAGCACATGCCCTCTCAATTCATGCTTGCCTCTCATGATTCAAAAAGCGCTTCCCATCTCCAAAGCCGAGCCATCTCCCTCCCCTCTGAACACAGAAGCGTGCTCTCCTACATGTGCTGTCCACCCAGTGGAGTCACAGTGCAGTTTGATGACAGTTTGTGCTCTCCTTGCCTCTTCCTTTCATAGAATCACAAAAGAACCCAAATTAGGAGGGATTCATATGGATCATCAAGTCCAACTTCTGTCCACCAGCAGGTTTCCACTTGCTCCAAATCCATCACAGCCCTGCCTGCTAATTCCACAAGCAACAGCAGAACATTCAAAAAAAGGCAAAAAAGGCTCCCTTGGGTTGAGTAACCCCATTCCTGTCATTGCCAAGCACTCGTGCAGCAGAGGGATGTCTGTTCAGTTCTTGTTTTGATCTTACAGAGCAGCTCTCACCCGGCTGCCTTTGGAGCTGACTGCCCTTTCTGTTCAAAGGAATGGTTTTCCTTTTAGTTCTGTGTTTCCACACAGCTGCACACGCTCCAGAGGACAACAAACCCTTTCCAAAAGGCAGCGTGGTGCCAAGGCACAGCTGGCACCTCCTGCAGCAGCACTCCCTGCTGCTAACAGGGTCTCTTTGCCTACCTAATGGCACAGACCAACCACTGAGGCACTTCTGTACACCAGGCTGGCACTCAGCATTCAGCTTCCCTCACTCTGCAGCATCACGGGACTGGCATCTAAAGCAGGATCTCAGTGGGGAGCTTCGGCTCTGAGCTGAATGGGAAAGCTCTCATTGGCAGCAGCAGATCATTTTGTGGCAACACCTGTGATGGGGTTGGGAATTGAGCATTCCTGTTGAAGTAATCACAAAACACTGCGTTTGTCTGTTGGTTTTTTAGTGCTGGCATCAGCTGACCAAGGAAGAGCAACTGGTGTTCACCCGGATTTGTGCAAGGCTTTTGACACAGTCCCACACAACCAGACTGGAGAGATGTGAGTTGGAGGATGGACGAGTCAGTGGATAAAGAGTTGCCATGGTTGCAGCCATAGAGCTGTGGTGAGTGGCTCTATCCAGATGGAGGGCAGTCGTGAGTGGCATCCCCCAGGGTTCATCTTGGTACCAGTGCTCCTCAACATCCTTATCAATGCCATAGATGATGGGATCGAGTGCACCCTCAGTAAGTTTGCAGGCAATACCAAGCTGAGTGGTGCAGTTGAGGCAATAAGAAGGGATGGCACCCAGAGGGACCTGCACAGCCTTGAGAAGTGGATGCACATCAACTTCACGAGGTTCAACAAGTGCAAGGTGTTGGGTCAGAGCAATCCCAGCTGTGAGTACAGACTGGGAGAAGAACTCCCTGACTTCTGAGCACTCAGAGTGCTGCATCCAGGCTACCCAGAGAGCTGTGGGTGCTCCATCCCTGCAGGTGCTCAGGGCCTGGCTGGATGGGGCCCTGAGCAGCCTGAGCTGGTGTGAGGCAACCAGCCCACAGCATGGCTTGGAATTGATCTTCAAGGTCCCTTCCAACCCAAGCCACTCTGCCATTCTATGATATGCTCTCTCTCCTACAAAAGAACAGGGCCTTTCTTTTAAGGCAAAATACACTGCCTTATGTATTGGCAGTGTATAGTTCTGTTGAACAGAACTGCTGCTTGCAAAGCATCCTTCAACCACAGATATGACAGAATCCCTTTCTCTAGCTGATTAACAGAAGGCGTGTTCTCCCTCACATTCCCACGAAATCCTAACTAGTTCCAGGGCACAAAGAAGCTTTCTCCATTGAAAAATGGTGTAGGTGTACTAAAGGCATCTATTGTTTTTGGGACAATACGCTGCAGAGCTGAGATGTCTCCTGAGCCCTCTGCTGCAAAGATCACTTCAAAAACACACTTCTTTCCTGAGCTGGAACAGCACTGGCACTCCAGACTCAGGAGGACATTGTAGGAATTAAGCTGGTGGCTTTCTGTGAGGGGAAGTAAATGAAAGCAGTGCAAGCACGCTGTGAAATCAGCTTGCTTGCTATGCACAAGGAAGCCAAGCACAAAGCTCAGTGCAGAAACGCGTGGTTTCTGCTAACACTTCAGGTTTAATGTCTACATGGAGTGCTAAAAATATTTGTCTTCATATAAGGGAATAGAGCCCAGAGCAGCTGAGACGTGGGGACAGAAGAGAGAAAACGACTCCAGCTGTAATCCAAAGCAGCTCCTTACTTCTGCAGACCAAGATTTCCCTAAGATCCTTACTGTGAAGGTCTCGCGTGCATGAAAGATTATCTGGTTTTAAACTGAGCAGCTCCTATTAGAGAGCTACTCTCTGCCCCTGGGCTCGTTGTGCTTGGTGGTCCCAGCAGTGTGCCCACACGTGTGCAGAGCAACAGGGGCTCTCTGGGCCCCTGCTGGAACCCAAGTCTTTAATGCAGGGCTCTGATAAGCTGGCTTAGTAGAAAGCTCATTGATTTCTCCCAATAAGATAAAACCAATGGCAGTGCTGGTAGCAGAAATAACACTCAAAGCTTTGTGTTGCGAAAAAAAATGGTACTAAGTGTGAAATGCTTCGGGTGTAAAGAGCTCCAGAGAGAACCTGAATGGCAGCACAGTCTGAAAATAACCCCAAGATCTCCTGAGAAACTGCTTTGTATTTACCTCCAGGGGAAAAAAAGGGATAGGAACAGAAATCCAAGCTCCCCAGATGCATCTAAAAACCCACAGTAAGTGACTGCAGTCACATCCAACCAGCCCAGCAAGTGACACCTGGAGATGCCCCCATGGGCAGAGATGGCATGCCAAGCCTTAACCCATCTCTAAAGGTGGGCAAGTGTTGTCACCCCCAGGTGATGAAGCCTGAGGACCCAGGATGGTGCAGGAGAGAAGCTTCCACTCTGCATGTGCTAGGAGCACTTTGTGCTTGGCACTTCATCACCAGCACACCCACAATCAGCTCTGCTGTAACAGCAATGTAGGATGAGGAGAGACAAAAATCCCACATGCACAGCAGAGGATTTTCAGCAGTATTACCAGCACAACCTGCCACCAGCTGTGCTGAGACAGAGTTCAGGAGTCCCCAGACCTGGATCCCAAAAGAATGGAGCAATAGCAGAAATTTGGCCTTAGTAAGCAAAGTCCTGCTTTCACCAAAGGAAAATTAACAGTGACCACAGCATAAGGTGTGCCTCTGTTTTCTCCCTCCGTTTATTCACGTTTGTTTCTTCCAAATCATCCTAAAATTATCCTTTATGTAAACACTTAAGCTGCTTTTAGGGTGCTGCCAAAGGGAGACTGAAAGGGCAGATGCTTGCACGGAGCATCTGTAGAAGGAGCTGACTTGCAGCTACTGAGAAGGCAGGAAGGAGAAAGGCTTCTCCAGTCTGTAATCTCAGCCATCCACAAGGGGTAGGAGCTTTGGCTCTGGGTGGTGCACACTTCCTAAGCCTTGAGGAAGACACGTGGCTCAGCCATTGCCCAGTGATGCTTTGCTTTCACATGGGCAACCAGGAGCAGATTTCCCAAGGCTGAGCTGGAGTAATCAGAGATCTGACAGAGCCAGGCACATCAGCACTTCTTCATAATCACGCCTAAACCACACTGCCTGATGCTGAGGCTGCTATAGAGCAGCACAAACAGTGGCAGTGTAGTTTCTGAGAAAGGAGACCCAATTCCGCACCTCCATCTGGATGAACGAATGCTCATCTGGTTTTACAAGGGGAAATGATCCCAACAAACAAGCAGGAGCACCAATGATTCCTAATAACACGAAGCCCATTTGTGCAGCAAATACTTCTCTTGCGGAGAACGGTTGAGCCCACACTGAGAGCAGGAAAGAGGCCACCAAAAAACAGAGCCATGCCACAAAAGCACTGCTGGTTCCTGTTTCAGCTGCGAGCTGGGATGCCAGTCACATCCCAAACCAGTTGCTGACCCACAGCAGTGCTGGGCAGGTGTTTTTCTTTCTTAAGCCGATGGTTTAGAAGAAGCAGAGTGAAAATAAGGCAACAGACCCACTGCAGTGCTGCAATGTACACTGGGATCCACTGCAGGCTCTTCCAGGTACCGACCTGAAATGCTGCTGCATCCTATCCCTATTTGGGTTCAGTACTCTGCCCCTGGCAGACGATTCCCTTTGCAGGCTCCTGTGCAGGATTCAGCTTCCTCATCCGATGCAGAATGCGTTCCTGAGCAAGGTCAAGGCAAAGCAGCTTTTACGTCAGCTGCGCCCAGCAAACTGATTCTAAGACACTTCCCAAGTTCAGCTAAGAATAATTACCCTCCCAACACGCAGCAGTGCGTGCTGAGCAAGCTGGAGGAGACACCTTGTACTGAGCGATGGCTTGGCTCTCATACAGCAGCAGCACTAATTCAATTGCTACAGGACGCACTGGCCAGGGCTGAGCAATCTGATTGAAAGAGAGAGAGAGAGAGAGAGGCAGAAAATTCTGACATGATGGCTCAGAACAGCCCGAGCCATCCTACTAATGGAGGATTCTGAGGGCATGGTGTACAAAGAGAGCTGGACTGGTATTCAAACCAATGTGGAAACGCCCCGCCAGCCCTCTGTCAAACACATCGTGTGGTGCTGGGATGTCTCCTGGGTGTAATTACAAATTATCCTGGTGGTGGAAAAAATTAAGACTCGTTTTGAGGAAGACAGAGGCATGCTGTTAAATACATTTTAAGCTTTTGCAGAAATGAAAGGCTTCACACCCTGCCCAGACAACGACAGTTGATGTGAGAAAATGTAATATGAAAAAGGAGTGGGGGCCAACACGGTGCCCTCAGCCATCAAGCTGCCCAGCACAGCAACAACAGGCATCCTGACAGCTGCACTGGAGATCTCTTTAAGCCAGATTTTAATTTTTCTTTACATTTCCCACTCTGCAAGGGAAGATATAAAGACAAGACAAACCAAAAGAAGTACTTCTGAGATGGTAAAACTACTGACATGAAAACTATTTCCAGTGACTTTCGCAGAACAACACTGAGGTGTTATCTGAGATACCCCAGGACCATGACACTGTTTCTTGTCCACCTCTGGATGAAGCAAAGCAGAACAACTGAGTGAGAGAAACCTGCTCTGGGGCAGCCATAGCCTCACCATGCTGCTGCAGAGAATGACAGAATCAGGAAGGTTGGAAAAGGCCATTGAGATCCACTCCACCATGCCCACTGACCATGTCCTTCAGTGCCACATCTCCACTGTTCTGGAACACCCCCAGGGACAGTGACAGCACCACTTCCCTGGGCAGTCTGTGCCAGTGCCCAAACACTCTTTCTCAGAAGTGCTTCCTAATATCCAACCTGACATCTCGAATCCATATTGATGCCATCACCTCTTATCCTATCCTGGCTCTCACCTACTTGGAACCTACTTCGCAACCTCTTGGTTCCAAAAATAATGGGGAACAGGGATCGTTGCTTCCATACGCTCAACACTAGAACAGCTGGAGGAGGCCTGCAGCTGCCTCTCATCTCCAAAATGGGGGTTCTCCTTCTTCCCACCAAAGAGTACTGGGGGATGGGGGAGAAGGACGAGTCCCCACTTTCTTTTGCTTAAAGAAGGGAACCCTCATCTTCATCAGCAGAGAGATGTGGGAAGTCCCACAGCTCCACCTTCTTCTCACCTGAAGGGGGGACCCTCAGCTCCCCTCTTCACCCCCCTAAAATTCAGGCCCCCAGCTCCTCCCTTCCTTGCTCCAAAAGAGATGGAAAAGGGATATCCCTAATTGTAATACTTCTCACTACCGAAATAGCTGGGGAGGCTGCTCAGCTCCCCCATAACTAGAGTCCCTCAGCATCTCCCTTATCCCTCCAAGCTTCTTCCCCCATACTGGAGTCCTCAGCTGCCCCCCTTCCCGATTCCAAAAGGGATGGGGAGGAGGGAACCCTCCTCCCACGCTCCTCAACGCCAAAATAGCTGAAGGGGAGCACTCAGCTCCCACTTTCTCCCCATAAAAGGGGATACTCGTCTCCTTCACCCTCTCCCCAAAATGAGGGCTCTTAGTTACCCCTCTTTTCCCCTCAAAATGGGGCCCTTGGCTCCTCTTTCTCTTCACTGAAAGGACCTGAGTGGGGGCCCTCAGCCCCCCTTTTCCTCCTGCAAAATGGGGGTTCTCCCCCCAAACTGGGGCCCTCAGCTCTCCCTTCGCCTCACCAAAGGGATTTAGGGTGCCCTCACCTCCTCCTTTCTCCTCCCTTAAAGAGAGCAGCGAGGCTTTCATCTCCCCTCTTCCTCCCCAAACGGGGACCCTCAGCTCCCCCTTCTCCCCCTCCAGAGGAACGCAGGGACCCCGCAGCCCCAACCTCACGAAAATCCCTCGCCCCCACCCGGAGCTCCCCAAGCCCGCACCTTGAGGGTCACATCGCACAGCTTGCCCTGCCTCCGGATCTCGCCCATCACGCCGTAGCCACGGCTGGGCAGGTCTCCAACCGAGAAATGTACCAGGTCCTCGGGGTCCAATTCGGGCTCGGCTGCGGCCGCCGCCTCCAGCATCGTCCTGACCGCCGCACCGCGCTTCCCTACCCCGCTCCGATCCGCTTCGCTTCGCCTCCCCCGCACGTTGACCCCTCCCGGCCGCCGTAGCGCGGCCTCGGCCCCGCGGGAGGAAACGCTCCGCCTCCCGCTTCCGCCTCGCTCAGCCACTTCCGGTGCGGCGGCCGGAAGTGTGTGTTGCTATGGGAACGCTGCACGCAGCTCCGCGCCGCCTTAGCGGGGTCGCTGCGGTTTGGCCTTGTTGAGGGGGTGCAGGTAGGTGCCGTGTCACCTCGTCCTCTGGGCCTTGCCCTGCTCCTCAAGGCCGTGTCCTGCTCACAGCTCTGTCGCCCCCTCCTCAGGGTCCCGTCTCATCCTCGAGGTCCTGTGACTTCCGCATCGTCTCCTTGCCCCGGCCACCTTAAGGGCCGCGCCACCCCCTCCTCAGGGCCTCGTCCACTTCCTCAGGGCCATATCGCCCTGTCAGTGTCCCATCACCCCCTGAGTTAAAAATTTCCTCCTAATATCTAATGTAATCTCTCCTCTTTTAGTTTAAAGCCTTTCCTGTGTCCTATCACTACCTATTCATATAAAAACTCAGTTTCCTTCCTGCTTATAAACCCTCTTTAAGTACTAAAAGGCAACAGTGAAGTCTTCCTTTCTCTTCAAGGAGCCTACAAACAGGAGGGGAATCAACTGTTTGAAAGGGTAGATAACAGCAGGACAAGGGGAAATGGTTTGAAGTTGAGAGAGGGGAGATTTTGGTTGGATGTCAGGGGGAAGTTCTTCACAGAGAGAGTGGTGAGGTGCTGGAACAGCTGCCCAGGGAGGCTGTGGATGCCCCGTCCCTGGAGGTGTTCAGGGCCAGGTTGGATGGGGCCCTGGGCAGCCTGGTCTGGTATTAAATGGGGAGGTTGGTGGCCCTGCATGTGGCAGGGGGTTGGAGCTTCATGATCCTTGAGGTCCCTTCCAACCCTGGCCATTCTGTGATTCTGTGATTCCGAGAGCCTTCTCTCCTCCAGGTTGCACACCCCCAGCTCTCATCCTGTCCCCATAGGAGAGGTGAGCATCCCCGTGCCCTCCCTTGGACGCGCTCCCACAGCTCCAATCCCTCCCCCAGCATCGCTCCATGCGGGGCCCCACGAGGCAGTCACAGAATCACAGAACAGAATATTTATACAGTCCCCTCCCTGTCCCCGCTGCCACCCCTCTGCTGATGCAGCCCAGGTTGCTGTCGGCCTCCCGGGCTGCAGGGACTCACACTGCTGCTCATGTGCAGCTTTTTGTCCATGAGGACCCCAAGTCCTTCTCCACAGGGCTGCTCTCAGGAAGTTCTTCTCCCAGTCTGTACTCACAGCTGGGATTGCTCTGACCCAACACCTTGCACTTGTTGAACCTCGTGAAGTTGATGTGCATCCACTTCTCAAGGCTGTGCAGGTCCCTCTGATGCCATCCCTTCTTATTGCCTCAACTGCACCACTCAGCTTGGTATTGCCTGCAAACTTGCTGAGGGTGCACTCGATCCCATCATCTATGTCATTGATAAGGATGCTGAAGATGACCAATCCCAAGACAAACCCCTGGGGACACCACCTGTGAAACAGAGCTGTTGACCTTCTGGCTGCCCTTCTCCTTTGAGTATTTATTGTTCAAAGAGGGAGGGAGTTTAGAGTGGTGAAGCAGCCATAGACACAGCTAGCTGACCAACAAATATGTAGTTTGCTTTACAGTGCTTCAATAAAAGTTCCTCTGCAGGCAAAAGCCAATTAAAAATCAGACTGGTTATTCCTGATGAGCTGCAGGATATTGTGTTTCTACTCTGTTGGCTAAAAGTATGCCAGAGAGGCGTGGGGCTGTTTCCTTCCCATCTTCCAATGGAAGCAAATATTTCCAGGAGTAATGGCTTTCTCCAAACACTGAACAATGGGCACTGCATTGTTGCAGTGAGGAAAATTCCCCTCGTTCTGAATCTGTTTTCTCTCTCTCTGGTTCGTGTTGGTCGCATCAACCCCATGCAATGCTACAGCTGTTGGTCAGGCAGTGGCACAGCTGCCCAGGGAGGTGGTGGGGTCACCATCCCTGGAGGTGTTCAACCTTGGAGATGTGGCACTGAGGGCATTATTGGTGATGGGCTGGACTTGGACTTGGTGATCTTAGTGGTCTTTTCCAACCTTCATGATTCTATACACAGGATTTTTGCCATGAGTTGTCAGACGTGTGCTTCTCTTCTGGAAACCTGAAGACCAGGTGCTTGCTAGGAACTAAGAAATTCCATCTTGTGTTCCTGCAGTGATTTTGCTCTGCAGGGCTAAGGGGAGGACAAGCTTGAGTTGCTGGATGTTAACAGGACTGATGCACAAGAGGAATTTGTGCCCAGTTCTCCGAGCAGAACAATGCTGGAAGTAATTTCCTGCAATCGTTTGCCCACAGTTGCTCCTCATGAAGGATAGAAACTGCAGCTGAACATTCATCAAGACTCTATTCTAGAGCTCTACTACTCTATCACTCCTCTTTTGGTAACCAATAATACATTTTAGGGAAAGCAACACTTTTGATTATTCTTTTTTCTTCTCCTCTGTTCAGAATGCATGCAGCTGAAAAGAAAGTCCGTGCCTTTGTGCGAGTCAAGCCAACAGCTCATTTTGCTCAAGATGTGATCAAGTTTGGGCCAGACAACAAGGTAGATAGAAATGGATTGCAAGTGCAAACTGCTTGAAATTTGATTCCAATGTTTCTCAAAGAAATTCTTCCGTTCCATGAAGTCATACAGAATTTTTTTGGCTGATGACCTCCTGAGTTTGGATCTGCAAACGTGGCAGTGGTTCACGTGCCTCCTGTGATGCAGTCCCTAATGGAAATCCTGCAGAGGGCTGTGACTGATCCTTGAGGAGTGCCCTGTGGTAACCACCATTTCATCCTAAGAGGTTTCCCTATGGTGCAGTCTGTTTCTGGTCCCCAAATGCAAGTTCCTGACTTGACCTTCCTTGTCAATACAGACCTCTGTTCGCTCAACTAATCATTTCCCTGGCACCCCAATCCAGACACATCACTGAGAGATGAGCCTAGCCACGTTTCCTTTTTTTTCAGAACATCTATGACTAGAGTATGGCCACAAGGGTCAGTAAAAACACATCACTTGTGCTCCATTTTCTGCTCACTTTCAGCTCTTCAGTGAGTGGATATTTTTTGGACGCTATCTCCTGAATCTTTTCCTGGCTATTGAAGTCACCTTTAATTCCTTTTTTGGGTTTCAGAGCATAGATATATACATCAAAAAAGATGCCAAGAAGGGAATTGTGAATAACAAACAGACCGACTGGTCCTTCAGACTGGATGGTGTCCTTCACAATACCTCCCAGGAACTGACGTATGAGACTGTAGCTAAGAAATTGGTGTCTGAAGCTTTAACTGGCTATAATGGTAATCTGCAGCTCTTTTTGTTATTTGGTGTGGTGGTTGAGAAATGCAGAGATTCCCTCCTGAGTTTATTTTTTTGGTTTGAATCTTTTCTAGGTACAATAATGTGCTATGGGCAAACAGGGGCTGGTAAAACTTACACAATGACTGGAGCAACTGCAGAGTACAAGCATCGAGGCATCATACCCCGAGCTGTGCAGCAGGTACAGAGTATCTGCATGGGGAAAGAGACTGAAAGAAATGATAGCAACTCACTCGTATCAGTTATTGCTGATACTCTTAAAAGTGCTTTAACACGGTGAAAACGTTTCACCTGATCTCCACCAACTCCTTTTTGCTTTGTTTTATCTCAACGATGATCATTAAGGAGAGAAAGGATCCTGTAAAATATGTTGTACCTTCATTTTACTGTGCTGTGACCTTATGCACTGATAACAGTGATATTGCAGAGCAGGATGGAGTGATAAACCAGTGTGGGGGTGTTATGGATACAGCCTGAAACAAAAATGGGAGGAATCAAGCAGTTATGCTGTATTGTCATTCACAGAGGTTGTTCCTGTTTGATTCTTCTAGTTCACACAATGGGTTGCTTCCCAAATGTGAGAAGGTCTTCAGAAGAGTTGTTTTCAAGATCATTGTTCTGAGAAACTAAACTAAAGTCAACCAAAAATGTTGCCTTACCCTGTCAGCCCTCAGGCAACCACAGTTCTGAATTAGCTCTGCACACAAAGATGAACTTCCAGCTGTTCATAAAGCCATAAATAGCTTCTCTGTAAAGCCAGAAATAGCTGGTAGCTCTGTTTGTGAGCTAGCCCTGCCACTGACTACTTCTTCATCCTTGTACAGGTCTTCAAAGCAATCGCGTGTTCTGTTGATTCATTCATCACTGTCAGGATATCCTACTTGGAAATCTACAACGAGACACTGTGTGACCTTCTGTCCACCACGACAAGCAGTGGGGCCAGTGACGTGCAGATGGCTGTAGTGGATTGCCCACAGGGTGTTTATGTGAAAGGCTTATCTATACATCCTGTTAGCGACGAGGAGGATGCTCTCAATCTCCTTTTTGAGGCAAGGAGCGACCAGTATTACGCCTCATCTGTTGGTTATGTTGCTTGGCTTAGCTGAGGGAAGTCAGTGATGCAGGGGGTGGGTGGTCAGGACTGCTGGAGGGAGGTTCACAGAATCACACAGAATCACAGAATGGCCAGGGTTGGAAGGGACCTCAAGGATCATGAAGCTCCAACCCTCCTGTCACAGGTAAGGCCACCAACCTCCCCATTTAATACCAGACCAGGCTGCCCAGGGCCCCATCCAACCTGGCCTTGTACACCTCCAGGGACAGGGCAAAGGTTGAGCCCTTTCTGTTCTCTTACAAGGGGTAGAAGAACTGGTAATGCTTTGTAGTCCACGTTCTTGCAAGGAAAATGTCCCTTGTGCAGAGATTCTGAAAGATCTCCATAGAGAAACCCTGGTTTTAGTGTATTCCAGGGTAAGTTGAGTGCTGGAGGAAATATGTTAGAGGTGAGGCCATGAAAAGTAGCTTTGGAGATTTCAGGTCGCACCAAAATGGTTCAAGTAGCCAGAGACTGCCTTCATGTCATCAGACTTGTCTGACATAGCAGCAAACTGAAACTTCCCTGATCATCAACAAAGATGTCAGTGAGTGCCTCAACATGAAGGAATATTTGGGATCCCTTCAGATCCACCAGCTGACCTGCACTGGAATTTCTTCCTGAAAAACAACACACCTGTCTGGCCTAGCTATGTGCTAGGACAGTGCTTCAAGAAAAGAGCCTTTCCAGAGCCACTTTGGGATTGCTCACAGCACAGGTCCACCCATAAGATTTTACAGCAGGGATGTTCACACCGTGGGTTATATTTGTGAAGGAGGTCTGCTTAACTCGTGGCTGCATCCTTCTTTCCATGGGAGCGCTTTATTTCCTAAGGAAAACATGAGTAAATCATTAGTTCTGTTTGCAGGAATTGTGTTCTTACCAGGAGCCATCTGGTGTCCTTAAAATCTTTGGCTTGCCTTTTCATTAAAGGAAGCACAGTGCCCTAAGCTAGGCCCTGTGATTCACAACAGCTTCTGTTTTCCTTCTAAAGAGAAGAGGGAAGATGGTAACACAGCTTAACCTTCATGCATTTGTGTAGAGGTTTTCACATTAGTTCTTGCTCCTGAATCTAGGCTCTAGTGCAGTGCCAGTCACTTCTGGCCCTCACCAGGTAGACTAGCAGTCCTATCAAGCAGTTGCAACATAATTTGCAGTGTTGTTTTGTTTTTTATTTCTGTAAGCATTATACAAACCTGTGGCTAGCATAGATGTGGTTTTCTGTGACATTTAAAGCCTGGGGAGCTCTTTGGTTCTCATCAAGAAACTGAAACAGCTAGGGAGGTGTTGAGTCTCCACGAGGCTTACCGACTGTTCTTTACAAAGCCACAGCTGTGAGCTAAGCCATAAAAGTGGAAATACAGACAACGTGGTTTCTGGTAAAAGGCACAGTTACAGTGAACTGACCCTTAGCAGTGTTGCAGAAATGCTTTCAGGAGCCTTTGAATAAGAAAGTGAAGCAAATACCACGTGCTGCTCTAACCAACTGAATCTCAGTCTGCAGAACAAAGGCTGAAGCATCACTATTCTTATTTCAAATTCCTATTTCTAATTTCCCTTTATTCCACTGGTGCGGAAGCTTAAAAACACCATCTTCAATTCTGCCTTCATTTGCAGGGTGAGACCAACAGAGTGATAGCAGAACACTCGCTGAATAAAAATTCCTCCAGATCTCATTGCATCTTTACTATCTATATTGAGGTAAGAGCTCCAGCAGCTTTTTCTAGGGACTCTAATGGTTGAGGATCTTTACACGTCTGGCTTTTGCTGTGTGTCAGTTTTGCCTGCTATTAAGTGCACTTTATTTTCTTTTCCCCTTCAGTCTCGTGTCAGAGTTCTCTCAGATATCAGATGCATTCATTCTAAGATCAACTTGATAGACTTGGCAGGCTCCGAGAAACTGAGCAAGACCGGAGTAAGTAGTGGAAGAAATGTTTCAGTCCAGGGGTGGGCAGGCCAGTCATCAACAAGTTGGAGGTGAAATTGCAGGGCTTTCCACAACAGGGCTCAGCCTGTAACCCAGGCTCTGTTAGTTTACCTGCTTTTTATCATTTCTCCACACAGGGAAGGGCCACAGCCATCAGCCCTGATAAGGAGCTCATGATTTTCCTCTTTGTTCCATGAGCCGCAGTGCAAATCTGCAGCCTTGGGTCACAGCAGGCAAACTCTTAGAGCAGAAAGTTTCTTAGAGCTCAGCACTGACCTCTGCAGGTCCCATGTGACGTTCTGTTCACAGGAGAAATCCCGTGTTACAAATACAGCCTTTCCCCACCGTGAAGGAAGCTAGCAGATCTGGTAGACTTGTAATGAAGTCTCTGCAAACTCACGTTTTCAAACTGAAAGGAGTTCTACATCACAAACTGGGTTGGTCTGAATGAGATCGCCATCCTGTTCTGCAGTTCAAACAGAAACATCTATCGTGGAAGCTTTGCTTTTTGCTTTCCCTTGCAGTCTGAAGGGCGGGTGCTGAAGGAAGCCGCGTACATCAACAAGTCTCTGTCATTCCTTGAGCAAATCATCATTGCCCTGGCTGACCCGAAGAGGGAGCACATCCCCTTCCGGCAGAGCAAGCTTACCCACGTTCTCAAGGACGCCTTAGGTAAGAGCTGTGGCTTGCACCAGCCCCGTGTAGAATGCATAGAAAATAGTGTTTCGGTGAGCCTGTCAGCGCTGAAGACTCTTACACATAAACACATAAACTCAGAGGGATGTGTGAGGTATTCCAAGCAGAAGTGATTCCATGATTCTGGGAAGTCTTGCCCTGCTCTTACAGGAGGCAGTGGCAATGTCCTGTCAGATTATCCTGTACTAGCCAAGGGTTTTTAAAATCCTCTGCTCTGATTTATCCAGTTTCAAGCCTTTACAATTTGTATTCTCATTTCCTTACTGCACAATCAAGAGGTAAAAAACACATTTCACCTTCATTTCTAAGTCATTCTGTATCTGGGACTTTAGAAGGGCACTTACAAACCAGCTGTGGTCCTTGTTGCTTCTTTTATTTTCTATTCTCTATCAGCACATGATGTATTATTTTCTGTACAAAAGGAAACAACAACAAAATTAAATTCTTTACTGTCTTTTTTTTTTTTTTAATCTATTGTTTCAGGGGGAAAATGCAATACTGTCCTAGTGGCCAATATCTGTGGGGAAGCTCTGCATGTAGAGGAGACTGTAAGTTGAGTTTATTTCTGCAGAATTGAAGTCTTTTTCACACTGCTGTTGCAATTGTGTTGGCCATAAGTTAAGGAGTATCTTCTGGAGGGCTGTGGCAGGAGTCCCAGGGAAACATCCTGTCTCATCCATCAGAAAACTTGGATAGCTCCTCTTATCTCAATGGCTCAGAGAACAGATTGCTCTTGTCAATCTGCTTCGTGATGCAAACTGTGCAAACCAGCCTGAATGATGGCAGGTCCAAACAGCAAAAATCCAAGCACTCTGGATGGTATTAATTATTGTTGTTGGTTCAGCTCTGCAAATGTGTTTTGAAAGGTACGTAACGACACAGAGTCAGTGGAATGGCACCAGTTCATGTCAGAACTGAGCTGGCTTTCAGTTGGTTCTTGGGATACTGGAACCAGGAGTAGCATCCTAGCAGTAAGGCTGTGAGAGAATAAAATTGGCAGAAGCCTCACTGTGTGAAATGGATCATCCTAACCACATCTGTGACACAGAGAAGGGAATCATCTTTCTGTTTGCCAAGAGCCTTTTAAAGAGCAAAAAGAGGAAACACAGTCACCTGCTGTGGGGCTGTGATCAAGGCAGAGTGCTGTTCATCTTCTATTTGTGCTGTGGTAGCATCTAGAAACAAGGAGAATTACCCAGGAAATGGGAAGACTTTCTGGCTGCAGCTTGCAAGATACAACAATTGCAGGAATTAAGCCTGAAAGGCTCTGATGTATGTCTCAGGGATATTAGGATGTGCTATTTGAATGAGAAGTGAGATGGGGGATAAGTCTGTTACACAAAGAACTGTCCACACACAAAACAGAAGAGACAAAACATCAGCTGAAGCTGGCTCATCACACAGCAGCCAATGAGCACTGGAAGATACGTTCCTGGAATCCCAAACTCTGTGATGCTGGATGGAGTTAGATACATTTTACTTTGCTATGGACTGGGATCTGATACAATTGAATAATAACAGATTATGAACATCGTGTCCTCACCAATATATCTTTCAGTTACTTAAAAAACGTGTTTTTCAGTTGTCTTCTCTTCGTTTTGCTACCAGAATGAAATGGATCACAACAGAGCCAGTCGTTAATGTGACATATGACTCAGAGGTACGTAGAGAAAGGCAATGAAAGGAGTTATATTTTCTCATTTCATTAATATTTAGGATAATTACCTTAAGAACCTGAGAGAGATTTGGTAGTTTAATGAAATTCCACTCATCAGCCAGCCTGAGACTGACTACATTCAGGTATATCAGAAAACAAATAGATTATTTTAAACTCCTGCCTCTATTAAAGTTAATGTTGGAACTCCTACAGAGTTCAGTAATGGTCAGAGTGGAGCACTGCTTATTTCTTTGCTTTCAAGACAGTATTTCTGTGTCCTGAACCTGAGAACCCCTACAGCACCAGAGCAGGAAAGCAGCAAGTTAATAAGCAGGTAGCCTTTTTCTAGATGGCTTGGGCTGGCTCTGCAGGCAGTCCACCCAGGACACAACAGAAGCTGTCCTGTTGGAAGCCAATCAAAGGCAAAGTGTTTTTCAGACTCACTATTTCACTGATGCAAACCTGACAGCCAACTCTGGGGGAGCTGGCACACAGCTGTGATGTTACACAGCAGTTCAGGATATGCTGCTTTTCAGCAGGTTGGGTTTTTTTTTTTTCCCTAATGGCATTTGGTCATTCACTTACCCTTCTGTTTTCCTTCTAGGGAACAGTGAAGACTTTGGAGAAGGAAATCAGTCTTCTGAAGCAGGAGCTGGCCATGCATGACAGCTTGGTGAGGAACAGGCTGCACCACCATCAGTGGTCCTAATTAGGGTTGTCGTGATCATTGTTTTGCTGTGGAATCAGTCATTCAGTACCCAACGTGACTGTATTCTTCTTTCTGCCTTCAGCATAATCTGATGGGGTTTAGTCAAAGCTCTGTGCTGAGACTGTGCTGTAGCTTCATTTGTTATGCAGTGCAGATTTTTGTTTAAGACTTGTGAAGCCACCTTCTTGTTTGGTTAAAGTGTGAAAGGGAATGCATTGCTTTCAGCATGCTTCCATGCCCCATGATCTGAAAAGAAGTCACAATCAGAAATTAAACACGAGGAGACCGATGTCAGCCTGGCACTTGCTGAGGTCTCTGTAATCCACTGACACTCAGTTGTTTGCCTTTTGTCTTAGGTAAATCGTTCTTTGGTGACTTATGGCCCTCTGACTGATGTCCAGGTAGCAGAGATTAAATCTCAAATCCATAAATATCTACAGGGAACCATTGATGAAATTGATGTAAGTAGCTTTTTAAGTAGAAAAGGACTTATATGCTGCTTCCTTCCCATTTTATTCCAAGGCAGGAGCAAAGAAAACCTCTGAAGAGGTTGTCATTAACTTGAGAAATGCTACAAAATCGTGTGTGTATATATTTGTCTTGTTAGGGTCTGTCTCTTTGTTTTCATAGAATTCTTGCTTTTTTGGAAACTTAATAATAACCCCTAGCAGAGTCATAGGCTGGGGGGAATGTGGCAGGAAAATGGCCTGACAGAGAAGAACCTGGGGGTGCTGCTCAACTTGGTAGGTCAGGCTGATGGTTGGACTTGCTGATCTTGAAGGTCTTTTCCTTTTTCTGAACGATTCTATTATTCTATGATTGTAAATGAAACAGCTTGAGATACTCCCTCTCATCTCATGTGAGCACTGTCTTCTCTCCACATCTCTGTGTTCTCCCTCCAGCAGGCAGGAATGGAGCAGAATAAAGGTTCATGTGAAGGTGTGTTTTACCTGGGCTGCAACATGTGATGCGGGTGGGCATGGAGCAGGAAAGGCAGAGGACAAAGGAGTTTCACACAGGGAGTAATGTCTTTAATGGGACTGAAGAATCTTTTAGAGTGAGACTAAAGAGCATTTCACATTGAAGTCTAGAATCTTAGACCGTGGCAGACCTGAGTGCAGATTCCTGCTCAGCTGCACTCCCCATTACTTGCCTATGTTCCTCTGAAACAAAGACAGTGTGGCTCAATGACACTTCTTTGATATCGTGGGTTAGATGCTAGTTCTAACACAGTCCTGGACAGCAGTGAGAAGTGACTGCATAATTTGCAGGTGGGTCAGCAGGTGCCCTTTGTGCCATTTGTAAAACTGCTGTTGATAATTTGTTACCTTGCTGACTGTGCACCCCATGGAATTGATCACAATCTATCAGATTCCTCTCTCAGAGCAAGCAACTTATCCACCTCCAGCCAAGTACACTATAAAGGTGTCTCTCCTTCAGTGCTCATACCCACATATGGGAAAGCAGAGCCCTCACAAGCTGAGATATTTGAATTGGTGCAGCTGATCACAGCATGGAAATGCTTACTTGTGTTTTCACTGTATGCATCTTTTCCTCAGATAATGAACTTCAGGCAAGTCCAGGAGGCATTTAGGCAGTTCAAGCTGATTGTAAGGTAAGATGTTCAGGATTGATGTATTTCACAGTAAGGTTTAGGAACCATATCAACTGGGATATCACACTTACTTAATGGGTGGAAATTAATTATGACGTATTATGAAGTACAGCAAATATTGAGGAGCATGATAAGAATGGTGTGGCTGTTTCCAAGGAAGTGTTCTCTGTCCAAGTGGTGTGGAGGTGAGAAAGGGTGAAAGTGTTTGCAAGTCTTACTGGTGAGTAAGGAGAGATGTTCTTTTGGGCCGAATGAGGGAATGTAAATGGCAGGCTGGGAAAAATGGGCAAGCAGTTTCCATGTCATGAAACAGCAGAGAACAAAGAGGGATGAGGCTGTTAGGGCAGCTAACCAACCATTCCATAACCAACCATGGTCTGGCGAGGCAGCAGATCACAGAGTCGTTATTCCAACTTGGAAAGGACCCGTAAGGATCATCCAGTCCAACTCCTAATTAGATTTTTCTGCTGTAAGAGCGACAGCAGGATGCTGCTGTAGAAAATCTGCCTGCTCTTGAGAAACTTGTCTTAATTCAGCTGTCTGTAATGTCATCAGACCAGGCAGTCTGGTTTTTCAGGGACCAAAGACCAAAGTGGTAACATTTCCACCCATCGTTGTGGGTTTTTTGAACTTCAGACTCCTTTTATTGTGCTGAAGCAGCAGGTTTGGGGTTTTGTTTTCTTTTTAACTTGCAGATTTGAATTGATTAGTTGAACAGTAATAATAATTAATCCCATGGACAGTGCTTCACCTGATCCTTTCAGTGAACAAAAAAAATCACTGTTTGCAAACCTCCATGCTAGAGTAAGATTTGATATTTGAGTGACATGCCTGAAGAGATGTGATATCATTTAATTTAGACTATTAAAAGGCTCTGCTAAGTATTTAAGTATCCATGAAAAGCTTCCATAGGCTATCCAGTCTAAAAAAAGAAAGGACAAGGAGAATGGGAACAGGTTACAACACTCAGAGGAAGAGCAGAAGGATCGAGACAGGGTGCTTGGGTATGAGATCACAGGTAAAATATACTTTATTTGGAAACGTGATGTCAGGAGGTATTCCAGCTTTTGGCATATGAAACAGTCCTTCAACACAACGGTAAGGGGCTGCTGTTGTGTTGGTTTTTTTTTCCCCAAAGACAACAGGAAGGTGAAGTGGAAACCAGATTACGAAGCAAGTATGTTCTGATAGACAAAAACGACTTTGCTGCTATTGCTGCTGCTCAGAAGGTAATGGCTGGTGCTTAGCTCCTGCCCCAAACCCAATGTGGAATTCTCTTCTTTGCTTCTGAACCTTGAATTGCCTCAAGCTGAGAACTTCCCATTGAAATCTGAACTCAGAACTACTGGTGTGATGGGTGAGTGCTCTCAGCAGGCACTGCTAACCAAGTAGCATTCCTGTCAGCTGAGCATTTGGCCCATAATTTGAAGAGAATCATTTACCAGGTAGGAGTGGAGAAAGTCTAAGCTGATCTAAGAAGGCGACCTGCCTGTCAGCCAGGCCCAGATCACCTGCATCTGATGAGGCCCCTTTTAACCCTTATAAATTCAGGAGCAATACAAGCATATGCTATGGAAACCATAAATGCAGCTGTCGACTCTGACCTATAGTTTTCATCACAAAATTCTTTCTCTCTGAAGTGGTTATTTCCTTGCCTTTCTTTCACCCAGTAATGGGGATAAAACAATCATTATCTGCTCTGCAGGGCATCTCCTTGTTCTGTGGTTTAACTGTAGATGCTCTGAATATTTGGGAGAAAAAGCCCAAGGGAAAATGTTAAATATTTGCCTAACAAAAAAACACACGATGGGCCTATTCAAGTCTCTATTTAGAACTGACAAACAAAGCCAAACCTTGAGAGAAGTAGATTTTAACATCTCTTCCTGTTTTATGAGTGGGGCAGTATGAGAGAAAGCATAAAAACTGTGATTCTCTTACACTAAATGAAGACTTCTGAGGCTGCTTTTCCATTGCACTGTTACTAATTGCACTGTTACTAATGCTGTTTGTGTTGTATCATCAGTAAAACACTATGAATGCTCTCTGAATCGTTCAGTATCTACAACTGTCTAAAGTTTTGGGGGAGATTTGTAGTAAAAGCTTGAACTTATTTCCATGACATGAGACCCAAGGAATATAAAAAATTCAGCATATGAATCTGTAGATAATTTTGGCTTTTAATTTGTACTTTATAAATGTTCACATAGTGAACAAAGATTTCCAGATTAGGTTCTATAGCAATATGAAGTCACTGTTGGGTATGGGCCGGATATCATGGCCTAGACAGCTGCAGAGCTATTCCTCCTGGTCCATATTTTATTTCTTCCCATGTTCAGTTGGGTATAGTTGATGTGGATCACCATTTGTTGAAGAGACGAGATGTGGAGACCAGACCTACCCCAGTTTCACCCAAACCTGATGAGAAGAAGAAGAAATTCAGGACAAGCAGTGAGCAGTTCAAGTGAGTTCAGCAGCCAAACTACTCTCCTTATTTTTATTTTTCTCTTGGACAACATGTTGTCACACGTGGATGGAGGCAGAGAGGGAGCAAGGAAGGGAACAGGCTGGTGATGACATCAGGAGACTCGTTAAACATGAAGGTTATCTTTAAAGTGTTGGGTAGAATGAGATCTGCCAAGTGGAAAGAGAAGGGGGCAACGGACTGAGGAGCAGGTATGGAGTGAAACTGAAAAGAGGTTGTGAAGGGGAAGAGGGAACAGCAGAAAGAAAGATATTAGAATTTGTAGGAGTGGTGTCCCTGAGAGGGCAATTTCTGCAACTGCTTCTGTGGCTTGGCTCCTCCCTGACATTTCCTTTAAATCCTTGAGGAAACACAGAGATAAACCACCAAGGCTTCAGTAGCTGCATGAAATGGGCGACCTCTCTGTGCAGTTCTTCTCTAGGAAGATGGAGAGAGGTCTGGTGAACACCTTCCTTGGTCTCTCTGAAGTCACACCGACTATCCCAAGCAGACCAGGCTGGTGTTTATGTAGGAGAGCTGAGAGAGGATAGCTTTTGAACTGGCAAACCTAACACCTACAGCATGCTTTGGTTCCAGTGCCCTCTTACAAAGAAATTAATCTGGTTCATCTTTTTCCCCTCTATCAGGAAGGAAGGAACTAAAAGCTTCTTTTCTGGGAGAGACCTGGCTGCTCACTTACCATCAAAAAGCCAGGTAATCATTCCCACCAAGAATTTGAATGTGAAAGAGAAAGCAAGGAATGAGGATACAGCAAAAAAAGATGCACAGCCCTCAAAGCCAGTCTCTGAGGAGATTTCCCAGCGGCCCAGGTAAGCCTCTCCTTAAAGGGTGCTTAGCCTATCTGCCAGAGGATGGTTTACACCAGAGTGGTGGCACTGTGTCTCCCTAGTACAGCTACCTGCTTCAAAGTAAATGGGAGAATCAGAGATCTTCACTGCTTGGATGCAGAAGTACACAGTCACGTAGCAGTGTACCAAAGTATGCTGGTGCCTGTCATCTTCTCCATCTGCTTTGAGCTCTGTGCTGCACAGTTGAGTGTGTTGAGTGTTGAGTGTGAGGTCTTTACTGACCAAGAGTCAGTTCCTGACTTAAATGCTGGCATGTTTTTTTTTCCCCTTTTTCTGGGTATTCTGGAACACGCCTGCAGCTTTAACCTTCTGCCATTTCATTACATTTCCAGTTGGTCCCATGTAAAATCACAGTACTTGTCACCCCTTGGTCAGAGTGCAGAGAGACCTCATGACCAGCCACCAAACTCCAGACACTCATGAAAAGAGGGCAATATCTGCATGAGGTCATGGCAGGAAGTTCCGTATCAGGGCGGAATTGTGGAGAACTGCCAGAAACACAACAGTGTGCTCATCATCTGCTTGCACAACAACAGAAATACAGCACTGATTTGCATTTCTTTCTTGATGGTGTTGACGGGGTAAAATATGCACAGGGTACAGAGACCAAAGATGCTTTCTGTGAGGATGTGCATGCAGCTGTTCAGCTCCCAGGAGCTCAGCCAGGACCCCACACAACCCAGCCTGCACACTACTTTTCCCATCTCCATCTGCTGTTGCCAAGAGCTCCCAGCAAGCAGTGCAGCTTTGAATTATTAGGAGTATCTCCATTGCCCTTGTGGAAGATGACTGCTTTTTTCTTGTTCCTGCAGCTGGGGAGAGCATCTCAGGGTGAAGCTGTCCCAGGAGAGTTTGCTCCTGAAGAACCTTAATTTGTTATTGGCACAGGTTGCCTAAGGAGGCTGTGGATGCCCCATCCCTGCAGGCATTCAAGGCCAGGCTGGATGTGACTCTGGGCAGCCTGGGCTGCTGGTTGGTGACCTGCACACAGCAGGGGGTTGGAACTGGATGAGCATTGTGCTCCTTTTCAACCCAGGATATTCTGTGATTCTATTGTGTTCTTCCATGCCCTCTGCATGTATTTTAGTATTCTTCTGAAAACCGTGGCTGACAGGGAAGGCTGCTGCTCCAGCTGCATATGGCACAACCCCAAGTTGAATGGCTCAGCTCTGGAGCTGAGCTGCCAAAGCTGTATAGTCTGCCCAGTGGCCATTGTGCAGTGCTCTGCCAGCAGTTTGGCAGGAAAGCAGTCTCATGCAGCCTTTGAAATGCCTGAAAATGCCCTTAGGAGATCAACCCGTGAAAAGCAGCGGATGGTTTTGTTTTGACCAGGCTGGACTGAGGGACATGAAGACTTTAAGTTCCTTTCTGCTACCAGACCCACGCCACTGACCAGGAACAACCAGCAGCACAGAGCAGCAGCATGTTGGAGCATGGTGTTCCTCCTGCGGTGCCAAGGGTCTCGTGAGATGCTCTCCTTTTGCTGTGTGTGCTTTGTGTTGAAGTAAAAGGTGCTCTTTGTGGGGGCACATCTGCCTCAAAGCTATTTCAGAGAGAAGCCAGGACTGACAAATGCCACTTTGAATTCAGTCTTTCAAAACAGGCTGAGCTTAAAGGCCATGGGAGGCAGCGGCGGTGTAGAGCAGCCAACTGTATGCAGCTCAGGGCTTTGCTTGGCAGACGTTGCCAGGCTGTGCTGTGAATCCAGCAAGAAAAGAACAAAAGCATTTCTGTTCAACAATAGGGAGGAACGGGATTAGTTGTTTTTCTGAAAATTCAAACCGTTAGAAATCCTCTTTCCAGGAAAGAATCAATTCTGAGACATCTAAGGAATGTGATTTCCATGGAAATAACTCTTGAGGGAGTTATGTAGGGGGGACAGGAATGGCACAGGATGGTACCATATGCAGCTGGTACAGTGGGATCCTCAAAGGTCCCATTGAAATACCATCCACAAACCTCAGTGATGGCCACTCCCATGGTCTAACTGCAGGGCAGAACACACTGAGCTCCCCACAGCTCCATGTGTCTTCTTTGAATTCTGTTGCAGCTCCCCTCCATTGAGGGCAGTGGCATTTGAGCAATTTAAGGAGGAGTGTGGAAGTGAGATCAACAGGATCTTTAAAGAGAACAAAAGCATCCTCCTCGCCAGGAGGAAGAGAAGCAGTACGGTTGCCCGGAGGATCAACATCATCAAACAGGAAATGGAGGACATCAAAAAGGCTCTGGAGGCTCAGAGGCAGGAGCGGTCGCAGCAGGGTAAGTCACTGCATGCAGAATGGCCAGTAAGAACCTGGCAGGAGAGGGAGCTGCTGGTTTCAGAGCAGTTTCAGTGGTGGGACCACTACACCCTGCTGCTGCTCGCCATCCTTTATGCCTTTAGCTGTGCAGCTGGCCTTGTGGCTTGCCACCTGATTCCTCCTGCATTGGAGTCCTCAGCACTTCTCACTCTGTGCTTTGATGCTGACAAATGCAGGTCAGTACAGTGCAGAAGTCACAGAAACATGACACAGAATGGCCAGGGTTGGAAGGGACCTCAAGGATCATGAATCTCGTACCTCCCTGCTGCATGCAGGGCCAACAACCTCCTCATTTAATACCATACCAGGCTGCCCAGGGCCCCATCCAGCCTGGCTTTAACAACTCAAGGGACGGGGCATCCACAACCACTTTGGGCAGCTGTCCCAGCACCTCACCACTCACTTTGTAAAGAACTTTCCCCTGACATCCAACCTAAATCTTCCCTCCCTGAGTCATGGGGAGGCCTTACCGTGGTGGAGATTTATTGCATCTCATATAATCATAAAACAATTGGGTTGGAAGAGACCTTAAAGCTCATCTAGTTCCACCTCGTTGCCATGGGCTGGTTGCCTCTACCAGCTTAGGCTGCCCAGGGCCCCAGCCAATGTGGCCGTGAGCACCTCCAGGGATGGGACATCCACAGCTTATCTGAGCAGCAGTGCCAGTGCCCTACAGTCTGAGTTCATCTTGATTAGTGTCTGGCTTATGGAAGTCAAAATCCCAGATTGCAAAGTGCTAGAGGAAAAAATGGGGGTAGGTACCTTGATACTTTGCTGCGTTGAGATGTTTGTTAGGTAGAATATGCCTAGAAAGCTTGTCAGATTTTGTGCTACCTGCAGCAGGGAGGGAATGAAAGAGAAAGGGAATGGTCAGTAGCAAGAAGGCCCTGAACAGTGAGCCATGGCCCCTGCATTAGACTTCCTAATGCACAGCTGGCTTCCATTTCCCTTCCTGCAAAACAGCTCTTCTGTCTGTGCTTTGTGAGAGGTCTCTTCCCATAGGGTCTGACACTGCACAACACAGAGCCCTTTTGGCTAAATGATGAGCAGTGTCAGCTTGAAGCTATATCAGAGTGAGCGTTTCTCTTTTCACAGACTCATTGCTTTTTTGGAGCCTTTGCTCTTTATGAGGACATCCACCAACTCGTGGGGTCTGGAAACTGCAAGAATAAACCCATCTGAGGGAAACCAAGAACTAAAGATGTTCGAGGGAAGCAGCTTTGGCTTAATGGTGTCCAAAGAGCTGATCAGCCCTTTGTCCCCAAAGGGGACACCGCAGGAGCCATGGGGAGGGGTTTGAGGGTTTTTGGGGACAGTCTTTGTTGTAAGAGCCCCCACAGCCTTATGTGAGAGCTCCCAGCAGGCTGCCAGGTCCACTCCGTGCTCCTCACCTGCTTCTCACATGGATTGATGGCTGAGTGGGTTCAGGAGTTCAGGTATGATTTCTGCCCCACACCACTGCAGCGTTGTCTTTGTAGAAAGCATGTCTAAGGAAACATCAGTTGTGTGGTTAACCTCAGTATAACCGGGTAACTACCGTGTGGTTCGAAGCATCATGACTGTGCTTCGTCCCTCTCCACCCTCACAAGAAACCTTAATTTCCTTTTCTCACCCTCCAGGAGAGTATGTTGATGAGAAAGGACGCCTCATCATTGATGAGAAGGAGTTTTTACTCATCATGAAGTTAAAGGACCTGAAGGAAGAGTACAGATGTAGCTATGCTGAACTGCAGGACCTGAAGGCAGAAATCCAGTACTGCCAGCACCTGGTGGACCGGTGCAGGAACAAACTCATCTCAGGTACTGGCACACCAGGGCAGCTTCTGAGCAGTATTCAGCAGAGTTGGAGTGCTCAAAAGCATCTCAGCACTTCACCTTGCACATAGCAGAGGGTTGAAACTAGATGATCATTGTGGTCCTTTTCAACCCAGGCCATTCTATGACGACGACGATGATGACTTGTTGCATATACAACAAGCCCCTGTCATTCTCTGTTGTGGTTTTTCTCATTGCCTTCCTGATTTGTATTTTGTTGATGATAATTATGTGTTATCTTTTTATCTTTTTTTTTTTTAATTATTATTATTATTTTCTGCCATACCATTGGATTTCTGTAGATTCTCTCTCACAGATAATGACACACTGCTCCCTGGTCATGCCACTAGATGCATTCCTGTGGGGTAAGAGTCAGTAGTAACGCTCTCACTGATGGCCCTGGTTCTCACCTTTGATTTCTTTTAATATAGATGGTGGCTAAGGAACAACACCTGCCTTTGGCTCTGAGCTGCAGCTGTCTCCTCTGTACCCCTGGGAGATGAGCATTACTCAGATTTCAGCACTGCAGTAGGAAGCAGAGCTCAGTCCTTTTAGCCTGTTCTTCACACGAGCACAGCCCTCGTGCTGATGAGTCACACCTCTGCTTTGCATGATCTGGGAATTCGTGGTGTGCTCCACTGCAGGCTGCTCAGTTTAAGTCTGCAGGACCAAGAGGGTGGTCCTGTTGTGTGCCTGGGTTTGTGCTTGTGATGGAAAACAGTAGGTGCACAAATGCCAGCGTCCCAAACATTTGGATGCTGTGGACATAGCAACACTTCATCTCCTACAAACTTGCCAGAGCACAGCTTGTATCCATCAGGGAATCCCACATTGAAAGAATTGTGTGGCTTGTTCTGGCAGGTACACAGGGTCAAATAATGATTGCACAGTAAGTTTGCCACTGGTTTCTGTTGGACCTGGGTTTGGTATTTTTGGGGTGCTCCAGATGATTGCTGTTTAAATGCTCAGGCACAGACCCACTCAGACAAACATCTGTGTCATCCCAGATCGAAGAGGTCAGCTCAGAGCTGAAACCAGGGTGAAAAGTCAGCAGTGTTGCATCATGTCCACAGTGTCTGCACTGCAGGGTCTGTGTTTAATATTGCTAATTACTCCTGACTCCTGTGTCACAGAGCAGTGGGTTGTACTGGGGGATGCTGCCTGTGAGGAGCTGCTCCTGAAGTGGGGAAACGTGCCAAGGGATCAGAGCAGAGTGCAGCTGCTTGCTGGGAAATGCCCAGTGTTATAAAGACAACATGCCCACTGCATGGCAGCACCTGTTGTGTGTTATCACTGGCTATTATGGGATGGAATTCGGCTGTGCTTCCTCAGCATGTGCTTTTGAAATCCGACCCTCAAATGGCCTGACCACTCCAAATTGCCAGCTCCCTGCTCCCAAGCGGCTTGTGCAGGACCAGTGCCACCTGGTGGCCTGCCTCTCTCACACTGTCCCCAGGGCCATCAGGTCCTCACGAGCAGCAGCCTTTGCCAGCTGACAGTGCCCTGTCTTTATTGACGAGTTGTTCTAATAGGTTGAAACTTAGGAAATTGGAGCACTGAGGTCCTGCCTGGCCCACGGGCAGGGAGCTGGAAGAAATTCACCTTTGTCTCTGCTCACTACAGCCCTGTTTATCGCAACCCACTTTGCTTTGCAGAGTTTGAGATCTGGTACAGTGAGTCTTTCCTCATCCCCAAGTATGTGCAGAATGCCCTGAAGCCCAGTGGCAACATCAGACCTGGAATGATTCCCATAAACAGAGTTATGTGCCTGGTGAGTTTTTCCTGGCAGCTTTGCTTCTTCTTGCTACCCCTATGTTGTGTGGTAATGAGGGCTCAGCTGAGCCTGTGGGAGGAGGGCATGGCAGCTCTGCCCCTTTCTCGAAGCAGCGTGGCACTGAAATGCTAGCTGACATGATGCAGAGAGCAGCTATCTGGAGGTGCTTCTTGCATTCCCATCAACTTTGCCACGAAGAGGCTAAAATAGGACAGAGTGATTGAAGCACCCAGTCATCTGCTGACTATCAGCAATCAGGCAAAGTGCCCAGAGGTGCGAGGGGCAGCGGGGAGGCTCGTTTCCAAACTGTATGATCTGTAATGTTTACAGCTAAACTATTGTGTTTCATGTTGTGGCAACTGGCACTTAGCTAGCCTTCTGCTTAGAAACCAACTCTTTGGGACATCCATCCTCTTCTGTCATTCCTGACAATGGACATTTCTCTTAAGCTTTTAATCACCAGACTTCTTCTTTGCGTTATTCTCCACTGAAGTTATTCCAGTCCTTCCCTGTTAAATGTCACACTTGAAACCTTAATGCTGTTTGATAGGAATGTGGTGGCAAGGCTTCCACTCTGACAGGAATAACGGGTCCATCCCACCCTGAATTAGTCCCCGTCTGCCAGGGACTGACCACTGCCTGGCTGCAGATCCCTTCTGGGCAGCTGTGTGGACATGTTGTAGATCCATCTGTCCCAGGAGGAGCAGGAGCCAGCTGGGAAGGACTGTAAATGGGGCATAACTGTGTGACCCCCCTCCCTAAGTGCACGGCCTTATTTCTAGCCTGCCTGTCACTGGGGGCAGGGTGGCTTTAGTTCCCAAGAAGGAAAACTGAAATTGACTTCTTTTGTCTCCGTATGTCTGATTATTTTGACTGAAAATCTCAGTGAAGCATTTTCTTTATTCTCTCCTAGAAAGGCATGCAAAGAGTTTTGAAGCTAATCATAGACAGATTCCTCCTATCCTACTGAAGTTGTTCCCTTGAGATTATGAATAACAAACATTATGTAAGGAAAAGATGTATAAGTTTGCTTTTAAACAGAATGCTGTGATGTATCAGCCTGGAAAACTGCAGATGCAAACTCTATGCAGAGAAGAGCCTAAAAAGCCCCAGCCAAAGGAAAAAAGCAACCCAAACCCCTTTGGATGATGGTCAGCAGGGAGGCTGACTGCACTGCTCCAGGGTTCCACTCTTTGGGGAAAAGAGGAAAGCCATCACCAGTCACTTTTACCAACCAGGGTTACTCAGTGTATTCACAGAAACTCCCTCAATGCTTTCCAGCCCTGGATTTGCTATCATCACCTCAATTAAAACCCAAAAGATGAATGAAACGTGCCTTTTAGCAATGTTTTGCAGCTGTGTCAAGCTGATGATGTCACAGGCAGAAATCTTCACACAGAGGTTAAGCAATGTCCCTTGGAATGCTGTTCAGCACTGGTTTCTCTTTCTGCTTTCCCTGAGAGCAGGTCACTGAGGTTCCCAGTTAGTGCCACTGGCAGTGCTGCTATTCCTGCAAAGGTTTCTTTCCTTCTTTTGACCATTTTTTCCTTTTCCAGACTGATTCTCCATTGCTCTCATCAGGGTTTGCACCTTTTCCTCGTGCTTTGAGTCAGTGTGGCCATTCACCTTTTATCACACCACAAAGTCACTGTTACCTTCTGCAAGCTGCTCGTGATCAGGAGGTGACCAAAGAATCTGCCAGAGTGCTCCTCAAACATGGACACATTATGCACTGGCTGATACCTGATTCCACGATTCTCTAACTCTAAAACATTGTGCTTCCATTCCACCCATGCCCTTCCTTGGTGCTCTCACGCCATTCAGAACGTTGCCTGGAGAGATGTGGGCATGGGACAGAACGTGCAGCTCAGAGTTCTTTCTGCTGGGAGATCACCCTGCAGTGGAGACAGTCCCATGGGTAGATACAGCTGGAGAAGACAGCTGAGGAAACTCCCTCCAAGATTCTATGCTTGCAGATGGCCTTTGCATAAATTCCTGCCCAGATCTGTTCAGCTAAGGAAGGGAAAGGGGGCACCTACCACTCCCAGCCCGTGTCCTGAGGCTTCTGAGAACAATGCAACAAATGGCATTAGCCACAACGTGCGATTTTCACGTGGCTCTGTCTTTCTGCTGGCAGGAGGAAGATGAGCAGGAAAGGTTCGAGCGGATGCAGGAGGAGATGCTGCCCTCTGGGCCGGATTCTTTCTCATTCTACAAGGCAAAAATGAAAACTGATCAAAAGGTGATGTCAGCTGGGCACAGTTCCCTGTAACACTGCCAATGTGTGCAGCGAGCAGCTCTGTGCTTCGCTGCAGGGCTCCTCTAGGCCTGCTGCAGTTTGGCCACAGCCCTTTGGACCATACTGGATGGGTTCTCCAGCACAGCGGAGCTCCTTGAGGTGTTCATTGCCACTGGGTGATGTACGGGCCCCATCCTATTGCTGAAAAGCAATCCCAGCACTTTTCACCACTACTTCCCTCCTGGCAAAGGCTCACCATAAATTACCAGAGGCCAAGAGCTTAGTGGAACTTCAGAAAGATTTTAGAGCTGCACCGTTAAATCACCGTGCGTTTTTTAAGAGAACATCACAAAACCAATGCCTCAGTTCTGGCAGTGAGGAGAAGCTCCCAGGCTGAGTCCTAAGGGCTTCTTGTGCCCTCATTCAAGCTTGATGGCATTTGCCACCAGCATAGCAACGCTGCTGTGACGGAGCTGCACCCTTCATGGTTCCTATTTGGGCAGCCCTACTTGGGAAGGTTGGAAAGGGTGTTTATTTTGGCAGGGAAAATGCTTTTAACTGATGAGACTTCTGAAAATAACTGGTTTTTTGTTTGTTTTCTGTTGCCAGCACACATACAACAGAGCCATGTCATCCCTCAAACTAATGCACAAGAAACCTGGGCACATCACAGCTGCAGGGAAGGACAGAGCCCTGCCGTTTCTGCATGTCACATAGCAGACTGGGGCTCGCCTGGCATTCAGCACAAGGGGGATGAGCAATGTCACTTTATTTTCACAACTGGTTTATCAAAAATAAACAGAAGGGAAAAAAAAAATAGCAAAGAAACAACTTGCTTTCGTGCAGCTAGAACAAGTTACTGGTAATCAGACCCAGAGCTTGGCCAGGATGCAAGCCAGGGAGCTGAAACAGCAGTGCTTGTTTTTGTGGGTGTCCCTGCACCACGCAGTATGGTGGCAGAGGGGTGTCATGGGCACCCTGCACTGCTCCTGCCCTCCTTCATCCTGGGGACAGAGCCTCCCAGCCTTATTCTCACCTGTGCGAGCATCAGGGCACATTTGTGCTGACTCCATGCTCTCAGGGTGGATCCTGACAAGCAGGAGCTGATGAGACCCCTTGAACCCCATGGCTCCAGCGGCCTGCTCTGGAGATAGGTGCACACAAAGAAGCATTTCCACCAGTTGCTGAGCGTTAGATACGGCAGTGTTGAGTTACAGCAGCCTCCCCACCCCAGGACAGGATGAGATCAAAGCTGTGGTGAGCACTGTGCTGCTTTGCCAGGCTGCTGCCACCTCATCCCACACAGAACCATGGCTGGGAAGGGCAAGCTCTCCTCCCCAGCCTGCTCTGGTTTGCATGGATGACCTGGATGTGGGACATCTCCACTGCAGTGCGACGCACAGCCCATTGCTGTAGCTCTTCTTCCTTCCACCTGCTCCTTGCTGAAGCTCTGTGGGCTGCTGCACCTACTGTGAGTTACAGCATCCTGAGCTGGGGGTTTTCACCTGAAACACTGGGAAAATTAATTAATCCAAGCTCTTTGCTTGGCTTTAATTCCTTGCAGTTTACTTTGTTGCTGTAATATCGCCTGCTCAGCCCAAGGGCTAGTGATAACAGTGTGTGTACACCAGCCTTTTCTTTGTAATAATCAATTTCCAGAGGCTTATAAAGCAGCTGGAAGTTCAGCCCATGCAGAATTTCCCAAGAAAATGAGCTCTCCCCCAGGGAGAGAGAAAATAATCTTCGAAAGGGGCAAGAGCAGCTTTTAGCCATCCTGGGGTGTTCGTGTGCTGGGGTGCTGTGTCCTGTGGTGCCAACGTCCACGGGTGTGATGGATCCCTGGAGATCCTGCAGAGTGATTCTGGGGGTCCCAGTGATCCTGGGGTGCTGGTTGTCCCAGGGATGCTTGTGTCTCGTATCCTTGGGTGTGAGTGACCCCAGCGCTGATCCCAGGAGGTAATCCAGGGGGTTGACAGTTGTTTTGGGGTCAGGGGGTGATCCTGGCATTTCTGATGATTCCAAAAGTCTTGGTTGTCCCAGGGGGTGATCACAGGATTGCTGGTTGTCCCAGGGGTGACAGTGTCCAGGTGCTGATCCCAGAGGTCCCGTTGATCCCACGGATCCTGGTACTGATCCCTGGGGTCTCAGAGCTGATCCCGGGGCTCCCACTGATCTCAAGTGTCCCAGTGGTGATCCTGGTGTTCCTGGTGATCCCAGGAGTGACGGAGTCACGATGCTGATCCTGGGGGTCTCAGTGATCCCAAAGGCCCCAATTGGGCACTGGTTGTCCCGGTTGTTCTGACAGCCCCGAAGGGAAGCTGGTTGCTCTGTTGAGTCCCAGTTGTCCCATTGGGTCCTGGTACTAACACTTGTCCCAGTAGGTTCTGGTTGCCTTGTTTGGTATCAGGTTATCCTGGTAGGTGCTGGCTGTCCTGTTTAGTCCCAGCTGTCCCAGTAGATGCTAGTTCACAGTCCCACTTAGTCCTGGTTGTCCCACTAGGTACCGGCTGTCCCAATGAATGTTGATTGTCCAGATTGCCCAGTGACGCCCTGGTTGTTCTGTTGGGTCCTGGTTGTCCCGTTGGGTCCCAGTTGTCCTGGCTGCCTGGGGTGGGGGATGGTTGTCCCACTGGGTCCCGGTTGTCCCATCGGGCTCTGGCTGTCCCGGGTGGGGGGTGGTTGTCCCGTTGGGTCCCGGTTGTCCCGGTTGCCCGGT